CTGTCCAGTCTGCTTTGTGAAAAATGTAGAGGCCTGAACTCTAAAGCAACAGCAGGGAAAGCAATTCCTATGCCTTCTTGTTGTTAATCAGGGCTGTCTGGTGATCTTGCTTTTGTTTTTTCTTTCAGGGTTAATGGGAACTGATTCTCCATCCCAGGCTTCACTGGCCTGTCCTATAGCTTGGCTCCCAGCATTCCTGCAACTCGGGGGATGGGGGGGAAGGTGGGGTAGCCTGTCTCCCTCCCCTTGTAGAAAAGTCCTGTGCAGCTCCCACCTCTCAGTATCTGAAGTCTCTTGTGAAGTCCAGCAAGAAAACCGCCCAGAAGAGGTTTCATTCTTGGGTCACTTGTTTTTATCATCTGTGTTCATAGCATTTTTTCTTCCATTTCTAGGGAAATGGAATGCTATTTCTACCACAGAAGGTGGAAAAAGAGTTTTGATTTTTCTAAAATGCCCTACAGGCTGAACAGCATATTTGTAATTTCCTTCACTTCCCCAGGGTGACTTCAGTGTGGCCTTGCAGTCATTCTCTCTTCCCCCAGGACCCCAGATTTCAGGCCTAAGCCTTCTCATCTCACACATGCCACATCTCCTGGCCATTTCCTCCCTCACTGAGGAAACCTCTGCTCCCAGATGTGAAACAAACTAGCAAGAATAAAGAATAACTAGTCGTGCAGTTAGATGTCTACCAGCCACCTCGCCTTTCCCTGAGAAAGAGTGACAGGGTCTCAAATGAAGCCCCTCACTTTCTCTGCCCCATGATTCCATTCTCTCTGTCATCAAACAAAGTAGCTCTATGGGTTTCTTCTTCTTTCCCATAGCCTAGTTTTCCTGGCTCCTGGGTCTTTACAATGTGTTCTAGTAGTCTGCTGCTGTTTCCTCATCTTAGAAAAACAATCTCTTGACCCTTGATCTAGACTCACTCAGCTACTCTTCTCTTACTTTGGCCTACTTTTAAGTCGGAACTCTTGGGAAGTGTTGTCTTCCTGCCTGTCTTTCCCACCCTCCTTTAAACCCTCATCAGTCAGACCTTTAACTCACCCCACACCAAGATTCCCTTTGTTACCATCCCTGTGACATTCATGTCTGTCGCTAACCTGAGCTACCTAATTTTTCTTTTTAAATTGTTATTTATGTACATGTGTTTTGTCAGCATATATTATCTGTGCATCCTGTGTGCACCTGGTGCCCTCTGAGGCCATGTGGGTGCTGGGCCTTGAACCCTGGGCCTCTGGAAGAGCATCCAGTGCTTTTAAACATGGAGCCATCTCTCCAGCCACCGAGTTGTTAGTTTTCAGTCTTCATCATACTTGCCCTGTTAGTAACTGACACTAAGGCCCCTTGAAACACTTTCTTGACTTGGTTTCCAACACATTGTGAAAATCTTGATTTCTTTCCTGGTTTTGTGTCTTCTCCCTGAACTTGGCTTGTTGGTGAGCTTTGGAGACCAGCTTTGACCTCTTCCTCATGTGCTTGGACTACTGCACTTGAGCAAGAGTTTAGAGGTCAATGCCATCTGTTCACCCTTGTACCTTGCCCTCCTGAAGTTTAGATTTGTGTACATTCTACTTTCTGATCATCACCTCTGCTTGACTGTTTAATAGGCAGTTCATAGTTAATGTTACAAATCTGAATTTGGGATCACCCCGTTTGCAACTAAAATTTCTCACTTTTCACTGTCAGAGCTAATGGAAACTATATCATTTCTGTTCCACAAGCCCAAAGCCTCGACTTTTCCTCATTTCTTCTTTCCTTTGTGATCCTTCTTTCTACCTCACTCCTGATCCCTCATTTCTTGCTCTGGCAATAGTCTTCAGCTCACCGTACTTCATATGCATCCTTTTTCTAATTGATGCATAGTATACATTTTAGATCAAGCTCATCCAGAGAAGCCATTCTTGTCTTGTACTCAGATCCAATAGGAATCATCTCATGCCATGCTTTAGTTAATCAGAAAACCTTTTAAACATCCAACAATGCCAAAGTCTCTACTGAGCCTTCTGGGATGAGGACAGGACACATTCTTGGTCACTTGCAGACCATGCTTCTAAAAGATGGTCAGAAAAGCCTCTGAGAGGCTGGAGAGAAAGCTATTCAGCTAAGAGTGACGATTGCCCTTGTAAAGGATCTGGCTTCGATTCCCAGCACTCGTGTCAAGTGGCTCATAAGTTCATGAAACTCCAGCTCCATGGGATGAGACAGCCTCTTCTGGCTCTGCAGGCACTCACACTCAGTACACATACCTCTACACAGATACAGGCATGTATACAAATGATAAAATGCCTGGGGTTACCACGTGAGAAAAACTAGTGATGAAAGCCAACCATGAGGTAGAACACTGAATGTCCACTAGGCATTTTGCAGAGTGTTTCTGTACAAGACAGTGTTACACCACCATAGGAAAAAATTAAGATTCGCTATATACAATCTGGAGGAACCCTAAATAAATAAGCTAAGTGGAAGCCCAGTCACAAATTGTCTTACACTTTGCGAGACGATGTATATGAACTGTCTGGAAAGTGCTGGAGAGATAGATAAGTGTTTAAGAGCTCTGCTACTCTTCTGGAAGACATAGGTTCAGTTCCCGGCACCCACATGACAGCTCACAACCATCTGTAACTCCAGTACCAGGGGATCTGACACTCTTCTTCTGGCCTCCGTGGACACCAGGCATGCATGTGATGCACAAATATATATGCAGGCAAAACACCCAAAAATAAAAATAAAAAAATAAAAATGAAACAAAAAGCTTAAAAAAGTATCTGGGCTCTGTAAATCCGTAGACACAGAGTGTGGTTACTAGGTAGTGGGGGAAGAGGCCATTGGAAGTGGCTGCTAATGGGGTGAGGGTTTCCCTTCCAGTTGTGGTGACACTGTACAATTCTGAATGTGTTAGATGGTACTGAATTGTGTATTTGAATGGGTGACTGTATGTGCTGGCTATATTTCACCTCTGTGACACAGCTGGAGTCATCTGAGAAGGGGGACCCTTAGGTGTGAGAATGCTTCCATGAGTTTAGCCTGTAGGCATTTTCTTAGTGATTGGTGTGGCACAGCCCAGCCCTCTGTGGGCATTGCTGCCCTTGTGCTGGTGATCTGGATTGTATAAGGCAGCAGGCTGAGCTAGCCAGCAAGCAGTTCTCCTCCATAATGCTTTAGTTCCTGCCCTGACTTCCCTTCATGATGAATACAGACTACATCTGTAAGATGAAACAAACCCTTTTCTCTCCAAGTTGGTTTTGGAGTGTTTTTTTGTTTGTTTGTTTGTTTTTTTCTTTCATAGCGATAGAAACCTAACTAGGACAGCATATGACTCATATCTTAATAACGGAAAACCAGAACAAACCACAGTTACCATGCTGTTGGGAACACAATGTCATGTCTGAGAAGTGAACAGAGGATATGTCAGAGACAGGGTTGAAAGGTCAGGTGAAATGACACTAGTTTGTAAGGAAGGTGGTGTGGTTGCCCAGGTTTTGTGATGTGGGGATATTGGAGGTCAGATAGCCAATGTCAGAACAGTGGTAGAGCGTGTGAGACATGTAGAAGCTGAGTACTGAGAACCATGTGAGGAGTGAGAAGGACCTGCTGTGTGGGGGAAGCAGAATCAAGCATGAGGACATGACTCCCAGAGGTTGTATGGATAAAAAGAGAACATGCCATCCCCTGAGGTGGCCAGTAGAGGCAGGGTTAGCAGGAGAAACACTGGTCTGAGCAGGTTTAAGTTAAATACAGAAGCTGGATCTTGCTTTGTAATGGGGAGAAATGGGCAGTATCCACACTTACTACACTATGTCTGCATCACCAGCCTTCTGGCGTTGCAAAAAGGTATAACCCAAGTCATTCAGTATATTTAGTTCACTGTATTTTCTGTCAAGACATATTTTTTTTTCCAGTATAAGGTGAATAGTGACTGTGAAGATACAAGGTATTACTAAGATTGCAGAGATCTTCCAAGTAGTAATTAAAAAAAAAAACACATTATTTTGGAAATGAAGCAATTTTCATAAGAGAAATTTTTATGGAGCTCCTTTTAAAATGCAGTGAAAATAAGACTTGTCTATCTCCTAGTGCTAGACATGGCTCTGATGGTGACCAGTAGGCTGAAGATAGGTTTGCTGGCATGGGCCAGGCTCTATACTCATCTGAAGATGTTGAGTATAGAGGAAAGAACTTTTGGAAAACTGATGATGTGCTGGGTGGTGGTGGCGCACGCCTTTAGCCCCAGCACTTTGGAGGCAGAGACAGGCAAATCTCTGATTTTGAGGCCAGCCTGGTCTACTGAACTAGTTTCAGGACAGCCAGGGGATGCACAGAAAAACCCTGTCTTGAATAAACAACAAAGAAACAAAAAAGGGGAGGAGACTGGAGAGATGGCTCAGTGGTTAAGAGCACTGGCTGCTCTTCCAGAAGACCTGGGTTCAGTTCCCAGCACCCACATGGCCACTCACAGCTGTCTGTATAACTCCAGTTCCAGAAAACTGAAGAATTTGGACACAGGGCCAGGAAGAGCCTTGAAGCCTTAGTCTCACTGGTGTCGTGGCCAGTCTTCCCCAAGCTTGATGATGGCGATGAGCCAGATGAGTGTAACTATGGAACACACGGTATAGCAGGCACTGCTCTAAGCAGTTTCTACATATTAATCCTAAAAACAACCATACTTCTGGAGGACAGAGCCATCATGGCCAGGGTGGGAGGTGGAGATGTTAGGAGAGGAGAAAACATTAAATGTCAAACCCAGCTTTGCTGCCATCTGCCAGGGAATCTTGGGAGGACCTTCATTTGTTTAACAGGTGTGATGGAGTCAGCAGAAACTTCTTCATTCTGTTGTGCTGAAGCCAGAGAGCATGTGAAAGTACTTTGTGAAAAAAGTCTCTGGATATTGCACAGTAATGAACAGGTTCTACCACAGTGTTGTAGGTGAAGCTTGAAAGTGCATTCAATTTTGATGACTTTTATTGCACTCAAGTGTTTCTAATTTCTTGGATTTTTTTTTCCAGGTTACTTGTCTGCAAGACTTTTTTGGTGATGATGATGTTTTTATTGCATGTGGACCTGAAAAATACCGTTATGCCCAAGATGACTTTGTCCTGGATAATAGCGGTGAGGCAATTCATTGACCATCTTTGTAGCTCCTGAAAAGAAGGCTCAGTTTAGTGACATGCATGTTGAGAACATGGGTATCCTGGAGAAAGATGACCAAGAATGGGTGGTGTCATCTGTAGTTCCAGCTACTCAGGAAGCTGAGGCAGAAGGATCACTTTACTCTAGGAGGACCCTAGGCCAGCCTTGGCAACATAGTGAGACCTTCTCTCTGAAAATATGTATTGAAGGATAACTAATAGACTGTCCATGGTAATTATCTGAGATATCTCTTTATATCAGTTTTGTGTGAAACTTTAAAAATGCATGTATATATTTATAAAAATTACTATCTCATGGGTAGGATGAAACTGCTTATTTATTGATTTTTATCTATTAATGTAGTTTTGACTATTTCATTGATTTCAAGTGATACTGGTATAGTAAATGGTTATTAGGCAGCTAAGGTAGACTAGATAATTTAGTTCTGGTTCTATATCCTGCTAACTCTCCACAACAAATGGAGTTCTAATCTGTGAAGTCAGCCTTGTAGAATGATCACTGTAGGTGGGGCTAATGGTAGCAATAACGACAAAACATTGTTAAGTTGCTATATGTTCATAGGCAGGACAACTGTTGCTTTATGTGTAGTAAATTTATCAGAGCTAGTTGGATCACTTGTTGTTGTTGATAATGGCCTTTGATAGCCTCTAATAGATAAGAGAAAAACAGCACTATTGATTTTTTTCTCCTCTAAGTTTCTAGTTATTTAATCTCTTTAAATATGGGAGTGATAATGGATATTTTATAAGATTTTGTGAAGGTCAAGTGAATTAATATGTGAATTAATATACATCTACAGCTAGTGGATCCCAATGTGTCTTCTTATTTTGTGCTCTTAGTATTGTAGCACCGACATTACATGGTGAACTGTGGCAGTGAGAGCAGATTTCAGATTGAATTCTGCCACAAATACATTTATGAGGGCACATAGCCTTTTTTGTTTTAAACATCATTGTTTAATTGTGTTGTCATCTTAAGAGCTCCAGTTTAGGCTTCTGAGAGTATCACACATTAAAGATGCATTAAAACAATGACAAAAATCAAAGTAAATGTGAGTTTGAACTCCCCCACCCCCCAAAAAAAGGAAGGAATGAAAGGAAGCCTGGTGTGGTGGTGGATGGTTTTAATTCCAGCACTTGGGAGGTAGATACAAGCAGAACTCTGTGAGTTGAGGCCAGCATGGTTTACATAGTGCATTTCAGGCCAGTTAAGGCTACAGAGTGAAATACTGTCTTTAAAACAAAACATTCAAAAATGCATGGAATTCTGCTAAACTAATCTTGGTCAAGTCAGGAATTTCTCCTGATTCTTAACCATGGGTATAGTTCTGAAGTTCTGGGATATTGGGGTCTGTTTGGGAGCATTCTGCTCAGTAGAGGGGCAGTGCCTCTGCAATGTTTTTACAGTCTATACACACACTTTTGAGACACGATGGAACATGATCTACAATGCTAATGTATTAGCAGAAACTGGAACTGCCCTTTGTATCAGGTTTGATTAGAGCCTTTCAGATCTTAACTAGGTTCCCCGGTGAGTATTCTCCCGGTTTGTATAGTTCTTGCCACCCTTGGGAGCTAGATTAAAACTAACTCATTTTTTAACCTTTTTACATAAATTGAAGTATTTTGAAGCAAATGACAGACAATATATTTTCTAATTTATCTCTTATAATAAGCATATGAAGCACATTTTATTCTTAAACTAATATGTTAGGGAGAAATAGGGAGGCTTGGAACATAAGCAAGATCTTCCTTCTAGCTAGCAGTTGTTGAGCCATGACTCATCCTAAGCCTGCCTGACTGCAAAACCCGTGGTCTTAATTACTCTGAGGTGGTGATTGCAGCTGTAATTTGTTCTGGTCCTCCAAATGCTGTCTTGTTTGGCTGCTTATGGAAAGGTCAATGTTATTGTTTAAAGCTAGTTTTCTCATTTTGGCTGTTCCATGCTTTGGAGAAATGGGTTGCTAGACAGTAAAGAGACAATAAGTTAGAGAGTTTCATGTCCTTTTAAGTAAGATGATCAAGGCCTCGAAGAGGAAAATAAAATTGCAGTCTATGCTGCCTATGAAAAAGCTACACACAGATGTGTGGTTTATCTGTGAATGATACTGTCATCCACTTAGGACAGTAGAGTTTCTGTGCTCACTAAGAACTCGGTCCAAGCAGTGACAGATGTGTGGTCTAACTGGAGACGTAAACGTGACATGTACTTTTTGGAAGCGTTGCTATGTACATTGAATTTATGGAGCTCGGGCTGGCAGCTTACCAAGTTCAGCATTTAATTCATAGCACTGGAAAAATAAAAGGTGGTATGAGAAAGATATTGTCAGGTAACAGCAATGGGGCCAGAGAGTAAGGTGCTGGACATATAAATGTGAGAACCTGAGTTCTGATCGCCAAACCCCTTCCCACATATACACAAAAGGCCATGCATGATAGCCCATGTGTCTGTAAGTCCAGTGCTGGGAGGCCAAGACTGGAGGAGTCCTGGAGTTCACTGGCCCAACCTAGCAGAATCCCTGAGTTCAGTGACAGCTTTCATCTCAGTATGGTGACTGAGAAGACCACTGGCTTGACTCTTGCGTGCATACGATTTTACATGTGCATGTGCAGACATACACTAGTCATGTATGTGTCATGAATTTAGTCAGTTCAGTCATTTACCTACAAATGCACTTTTGTTCTTTACAGAATGCCGTGTTCTGAAGTCCTCTTATTCCCGAGTCTCAGCTGCTAAGTATTCTGGATCCAAAAGCCCAGGGCCCTCTCGCCGCAGCAAGTCACCAGCTTCAGGTAGTAACAGAAAAGCAATGGATGGTCTTAGAAGGGAGCACTCTCTTTAGTTTTCTCACATTTTTATGTACTTAACAGCTTTTGCCAGCTTGTGTGCAGCCATGTTCTAGAACAATGAAAGACAGTGAAAAATTTTAAAACAAAAGCCTTAGATCTGTCTTCCAAAGGTTTAAGTCTTCCAAGGAACACTTGCACTTGGTTCTGGCGCATTCTATTGCAGATAGCCTCGCTGTGTAGTCTTCCTTTAGTATGCGCATAAGCATATTTCACATTTTGGGCACTGTATACTGTATTTTGAATTCTATGCTTCATAATTTTGGATGTTTATCTTCCTAGAATTACTTCTTCCTGGTACAACATACATGCAGTTCCACTCAGAAGTACATTTACTTGAAAACGTCCGTAGTCTTTCATCAGGCGTTAATAATAGTAGCAATGATTATTCTTAGAAAGGATTTCTTAAGTTCTGTAATTTTAAGACCCAAATATTATAAATTTGTCAAAATTTACAGTGCTTTGATATTTTTAACATTACAAACCTCAAATCATATCTCAATAAGTTGGTTTTATGAATTGATAGTAATTACAAATAATTTTTCTCATTTATTGTTAAGGAAGTGAAGTTAGAGGGGGAAAAATCTGTTTTTACAGGCAGTATTCTTGTTGCTGCCTGGCCTGCTGCTCCTTGGAGTGAACTGAACCTTTTCAGTTCATCAACATCATCAGTTCAGTTCATCAACAAAATGATGATTTGACTGGTGAGGCATCCGAGAGTGCAGTGGTCCCAAACAACCAGTGTTAAACACCAGACGTGCTCAGACAGTCTCTCCGCTGCTCCCACTGCAGCCCCCGCCTCACGTCCTCTAGGGCAGGCTGTGTTACTGTCGTGTAGACCTGCTGAATAACCACTGTCCTTACTGTCTTCTCCTGCTCTGTGCATATGCGTGTACAGTAAAGAGGGCTGGCCACTCCAGTGCCTATTCTACAGCCAAGTCCCCAGGTGAGCCAGGGTCCTTACAGCTTTGTCACTCCGCTGGGTTTTTGTTTCCGTCTTTTGCTGCATTTCTGTTTCCTCTGCTCCATTTCCATGAATGTATCTGGCCTTCCCCTGTGGACATCTGTGCCATTTGCAACATTTCCCAATGCACAGGCCACTTCACTACAGAGCCACTCGACCTAAGAAGACTGCTGAGTGCCTGTCTGTAGTTGAAGCACAGTGGTCCGGGGGAAGGCAGCCACCTCCAGGACAGCTGTGTCCAGTGAGCCGTAGAAAATGCTCTATCATTAAAAAGCTAAAGTTTTTTTTTTTTTTTTTTTTTTTTTTTTTTTTTAAGCTGAGTTGGGCAGTGGTGGCACAGAGGCAGGTGGGTCTCTGAGTTTGAGGCCAGCCTGGTCTACAGAGTGAGTTCCAGGACAGCCAAGAACTGTTATACAGAAAAACCTTGTCTCAAAAACCAAAACAAAACAAGTTTGTTGGCAAAAAGGATATGGAAGGAATTTCTAACCTCATACTCTGCCCATATCTGTGTTAAAAGTTTAGGAATCATTAAAACCTGATTCAAAGTACTTCATGATAGCTGTGCCCAACTAGGATAAGGAGGTGTTTTCTGCACATAAAAGGAGGCAGCAACACTGCATCCTTTAGTTGGGAAGCAATTATTTTCATACAGTGCTCTATACTCAGGCTTTCTAAACACATGACAGTTGATACTGGATTTTTTAACCAAAGGTGTCTCTCTGCCATTGACCTTATTTTAGATTGTCTTAAAACTGGAAATGCTAATGGAATATAAATGTGTTTGGATACAGTTTTCTGGCTGAGTGATCCTTAGCCTTTGTTTCAGGTGACAGGTTTATAGATGCTTGTCATATCAGGAGAATGATTAAATAAAAGTGGCCCAAGAGTCAGGTATGATTAATTCCCTGGGTCTGAAGAGGAAACTTAACTGAACTAATAACACTTCATGGCTACATTTGTCTTCAGACCATCTACTGTTCTATGGCAAAGCCCAGTGAATACTTAAATCATGGTGTAGATTTGTTGTTGTTTTTTTTTTAAATCTAAATTTGCAATACTTAATAACTGATTGAGAACTAGCATTTCAGTGTGCATAATCTTCAGCTGAACCCATATTTGGATAATGCCAGCCTCAGACTCCTCCGTGAAAGTTGTGAGACTTGAAAGCCACACCTCAGAAGGCAAATGAGTGGAGGCCACTGGAAGGAATCATGTTAGCACTTTAGAAAGCTCAACGCCTCTGCTGCTGCTGGCGCTCCACAGTGACTCTACAGCATGCTGCTGTGTTACCAATAGAATTTTCTCCTTACTCTCTGGCAATAAGGGGTGGAGAGCAGTGTGTTGCAAGCCTCTAAATAGTATGTTGAAATGCACCGATAGTAAAGTAGATACCATTTAGTCACCCCGACTCTAGTCTGAGTTTTATAAATACTGCTTTTGGGGACTGCAGAGGTGGCTGCGTGTTTAAGAGGGCTTGCTCTGTGATTGAGGACTAGCAGTGAGATCCCAGCCAGCACTGACCTCACAGCCAGGTCTCCTGTGGATGCCTGTGTTCCCAGTTCTGATGTGGGGTGGAGGCAGGGGCCTGGAGCATGCTGGCTCCCAACAGACCATGGGTACCTGGAAGGGATAGGAGAGTGATGGATGAGGACACCTGAAGCCCCTTCAGCCTCTGTTGCCTACACCTGTGGCCACACAGTCAACACACACAGACACACGGAAAATCTAGTTAACTGCGTGATTTAGAATTAGGGAAATTAAAAATTTGGGGAATTAAAAATATTGAAAAGATCATTGTCTACTGATTGTAAAAATACAATATGCTAGGCAAAGTGACTTTATAAAGACACCATCCCTGCTCACAGATGATTGACTGATTGTATATGATCCTCAGTCCATGAGCTCTGCCTCTGCTCAGGAACTGGCATTCACTTTTGAGTCTCCCGTGCAGGATGTCTGCGTTCGAATTTGACTTTCTACACTTGAGTGATCTAAAATAATGCCTCCTATGTTTATAAAAAAAAAAAAAAGTGGACTTCATTCTACTTACATAAAGATGAATGGCAGCTTTCATCTGCTGTGGGAAGAGGCTTTTGAGGCCAACTCTGAAGTAAAAGGGATTACAAGTGCTTTTAAGAGGAGAACAAATGACTAATCCCAGATATTAAGCACCAGCTTCATGAGATCACCACCGAAACAGATCTAGATGATGGGATTGGGAGTGTACAGGAAGGGTACTGAGGTGGTTGGCCAGCACTCTGCAGGCTAGAATCTGTGATTGACCCTCCTCCCTACAAACAGGATTAGCCATCATCTATCTGCTCAGCATAAACTCCAATTCAAGCTTTCTACCAAAGAAGCATATGGAGGTGCAGAAGGTGGTATATAGAGATTAAACTGTGAAGAAAAATGGAAGGATTAGAAATAACTAGCCTATCTTTAAAAAGTATTTGAATAACTTATCTTTTAATGGCTTTTAATCAAATAATATAAGAAGAAATAGTTGCTTTCACTTTCCATTAAGAATATACCTAAAGAGCAGGTCAGTGGTGGCACATGCCTTTAATCCCAACACTTAGGAGGCAGAGGGAGGCTGATCTACAGAGCAAGTGCCAGGCCAGGCTCCAAAGCTACACAGAGAACATACTTAAAGGTTAGGGTTGAAGTTTAGTGGTAGAGCATATGCTTAGCATGTATGAAAAGCTTAGCTCAGTTATTAGCACCAAAAGCAGAATGGGAGTAAGGCAGTAAGCACGCACCCATGCGCACTCACACAGACATTTGCACTCATGTATATGGATGCAGTCTAATTGATTTGAAAGAACCATACACATTTCTCAGTGACTCACATTAGTATACGCCGTGGTAAAGATGGACAGTGGCAAGTTTGTAATGGCCTTCATCACAGACCATCACAAACACAGTAGCCAGTCATTTGTCTGTGTTTTCTATTAGGCAGGTTGTGTGGACAGGGTCTCTTGCTCACACCTGCAATTCCATGATTGTCTTCTATATTTGTTTATATCATTGTTGCGACACTATTATTGCAAATAATTTTAATTTCACTCCTTGTCTGACTTTGTCTGTAATGCAGTAAGATACATTGCTTTTGCTTTTTGCTGATTTGTCACCTGCTTTAGGCTTTAAATGAAGCAAAGCTTCATGGGAGCCATTTTATGCATGTGCTTAGTGTTTTCACAATCTAGTTGTTTGGAGTTTTGATGACTGTCTCTTTTCTTGTTTCCTGATCAGTTAATGGAACTCCCAGCAGCCAGCTTTCCACTCCAAAGTCCACGAAGTCCTCTAGCTCCTCTCCAACCAGCCCAGGGAGTATCAGAGGACTGAAGGTATGAAGGAAGAGATATGGCACGTTTATGTGAGTCTTCTATTTGTGTGTCTAACAGTTAGGTTTTGTTGTGAGCTTGAAAAGCCTGAGCTGGATCCTGTCATCCTTAGCCTGCCTCCTTAACTCCTCCCACATGTGTTCACATCCTGTGAGAAGGCAAAGTTGATAGGTTGAACAAAATGTGATGAATGTGAGTATTATTCTAATTATTGTAGATGATTTGCAACAACAAAGCATTGGAAAACACTGTAATTCATTTAAAAAGACTCTTTGGAGTCATGATTTTAAGAAGCACTGGGGGAGGTGGGTGGTACATACCTTTAATCCCAGCACTCGGAAGGCAGAGGCAGGCAAACTCTGTGAGATAGAAGCCAGCCTGGTCTACAGAGTGAGTTCCAGGAAAGCTAAGGCTACACAGTGAAACTCTGTCTCAAAAAACTGGGGGGGGGGGGGGGGAGTGAAGCAAAAAGAAATACACAAAGCTGAAATTTGCAAAATTTTGACAAGTTTCATTTGACTTAGTAAATCCTAGTGCTTTAAATTTATAAAATATGCCTGATAAAATACCAACACACACACACACACACAATTAAAAAATATTTTAGGGGCTTGAGAGATGACTCAGAAGTTTAGAGCACTTGCCGTTCTTACAGAGGACCCAGATTTGGTTCCCAGCACCTGACTGGCAGCTCAAAAACTGTTTGTAACTCCAATTCTATGAGAGATAACACCCTGTTTCTGGATTCTCTTGGCAGTAGGCACACACACAAGAAACACACATACACATTAAAAAAATAAACTAAGGAAATCTTTAATTTACATTTAGTGACATTTTTCTGAAGTATTAAATTGGCTGAGGCCAGTTTATACTATGATTGAATTCTTAATTGTCACTTTGTCAAAAAAAAAAAAAAAAAAAAAAAACTTCTATGAAATAAATCCACTAATCAGCTGTCTGTTTTAGAGACAAAGCTGTGCAGTCTTTTAGCATCCAGACAGAGTATAACTGCTGCATTCACACAGAGTCACAGATCACATAGAGGAAGCAAAATAACCTTCATATTGTGAATAATTTCTGCAGAGCACGGATCTGAAACAATGGAATGGTGGCTATTGAATTAAAATTCTCCAGGCCCAAAACTGAAAAGGGTCAGGACAATGACAAGTGTTTTGTGTTAGCCAGCTTCCTATTATTTTTACAAAACCCTTAAGATGACCAGTTAGAGAGAAAAGGTTCATTTTAGCTCACTATTCTTGAGGTTTCAGTTTATGGTCACTCAGCCTTGTTGCTTTTGGGTCTGTGGTTGCCTAGAGCATCATGCCTACTTCATGACTAGGAAGTAAATAAAAGACAGGGGATCTGCTTACAGTGATAGTTACCTAAGGGAAAGGCATTTCCAGGAGATAGACCACATCCACAACTGTCCAATTAAAGCAAGCTTTATTTAGTACTGGCCAGGAAGTCCATACTGAAGATTCCCAGATTCCCATACTGGTTGGGGCTGAATGAGGTTAGCAGGTGCTCATTGTTGATATCCTGGCTTCTCTCTCTTCCTGGGTCCTGGGCAACCTGGTCCTGTTCCTGTGCCCGACTCCTCTCCTTCTTCAGTCCCATGGTTTCTCCTCAGCACTCACCTGTCACTATGTGCCAGCTTCTGGGCCTGTGCCTTCTCCTTAGGGAGCCTTTCCTGGGATCGCTCTTCTGGGCTACCTTCCTATAGCGCCCGCGCTACAATCTGTTCCATGAATCGGGCGAAGGCCTAGAGATTGAAATAAAGACAAGACAGCAGGTCATTTGTTCAATGGCAAAGTCGGAATGCCAAATGCCGAATGCCGTTTATCGAGGGGCAAGAACGGGCTTAAATACCGACTTATAGCACAGTGGAAAATTACAGGAATTTTTTGGCTTAGCTCCTCCCTGTGTTGTCACGAGGTATGGTTGTCACAGGGTGTGTGTCATGAGGTGTGTTGTCACGAGGTGTGTGTCACGGGAAGAATACCAACAAAAGCCTTAGGGCAAGGAGTTCCCGCCAACAGCTTCAGGCTAGCTCAAGGTGCCTTGGGGTCCTACACCTTCCTTCATCTCGGGATCGATTGTTCCTCACTGACAGCTGTCAAAGTTTGCATAGCGGTGTCATGCATGCGTTAGATGGCTGCATAAGGACTCTGCATTCAGAAACAAGCATGGCTGCATTGTGCATGCATTAGGTGGCTGCATAAGGACTCTGCATTCAGAAAGAAGCATGGCTGCATTGTGCATGCCTTAGGTGGTTGCATAAGGACTCTGCCTGCAGAAACCATGTGGAACTAGGGCTGCGCAGAGCTGGGCCAGTGGCAGCTCCGTGACTCCAGTTTTAATGGCTCCAACTGTGAGACTCTTTCTAAACCACCCCTGTTCCCTATATAAGCAAGTGCCTCCTGCCCGTTCTCCCTCTTCTTTCCATTTCTGCTCCCCTCCCTTTGCTCCCTTTCCTAATAAACTGCTTGCAGTTTTGTTGAGTTCGGTGGATTGTGTTTCACACTCACAAAGGCAAAACCCAAGGCTATCGTCCTTTCTGCCTTCTTCCATTTGGGGGCAAGCGTACATCCTGACATACTTCCTGTCTGTATACCTCCCGCTTGTGCAGTTGGGGCAACCAACCTTGTTCACAGCAGTGAAAACACAGGGCTTGACAATGGTCTCAAGCATTCTAGGAAATTGTCTGTCCTTGGATAGGTAGGTTTACGGGTCAACTTTAGCCCTTACTCAGTTCAGACAGGAACCTCTTTCACAGCAGGCTTCTGGCTGCCTCCCACAGCCTTGGTACCAAGAGAACTTTGCAGTGAGGCCAGTTCATGAAGATTTACAAGTGTGTGTAGCCTTCTGGTGTTCTTGTCATCCTTCTTTAGTTGTTAAAGAATTCTGCAAATGTTCCAACCAATCCTAGTTGAGCCTCGGCAACTAAGACCGAAGTCTGTGGCTCAGAGGGTTGAGGTGGATTGGAGAACTCTCGTGTGCAGCCTCATGGATAACCTCAGGCACAGTGAAGCCCCAGACCCCACTTGAGTCAGCTCCTCTCTGCTTAGAGGCGAACAAGGGTGTTGTGGTTAGAAGCAGAGTCTCCAGTCAGTGGCTGGGCTCGGTGTTGGCATGGCCTGTCATTGGTTGTGTGACCTTGGACAAGTTATGTTGCCCCTTTCTATAAGGAGAGGGTTCAGAGGAGGGACCGAAAACAAACACCGAGATGGTCTAAACACAGAGGAAGCCCTCTGGGCAGCTTCAGTATTTTTACTGTACCTCTGGGGCCTCTAGGTCTACATTCACACGAAGGAATTCCACATGAAACATGCAAGTGTACAATAGTGTGTAGGAAGGAAGGTAAACACAAGAGAAATCAGACTGATTTTTTTTTCTCTTATATTTCTATGTTTTATGTACTTAAAAATACTCTGGCCAAGAGCCCCCAGCTCCAAGGAAGTAGATATATTCAGCTCTTACCAATCCTAAGTAACATGTATGGAGCCCTGGAAACTGTGGGTCACATCACCGGAGGGACAGTCTTGTAAAAAATACAGATTCCAGGGCCCCCATCACAGGCCATGTTCTCTGTGTTGGAGTTCGGGGCTCAGCAGGTTTATAGGGACAGCTTCTAAGGTCTGTAGCTGAGGGAAGGTAGGTTCAGGGAGGGCAGGGAGCCTCATGTTTCACTGTTTCTCCTGTCTATTACCGACTTTGCTTCCCTTTGCTTTCTTGTCCATTTCACGTATCCCAACACTTAACAGCTTAACACACTTATTCCTTACATGTTCTTAGGAGTTGTATTTCAGGAGCAGGTTAATTGGGTGGCTGTGGGCAGGCTCGTTTATTACTAGCTGGCAGGGTACACATCAGTTAAGAGTCACCTGAGGCTTGATGGGAATGTGGTATCCACCTATCAGGTGACTTCTTCATTCCCTGACAGTTGGGGTTGGAGGCAGGAGAATCGGAAACTGGAGGAGGAGGTTCCATAGATTAACATGTGAAAGGCGAAAGGCTGCAGGGAAAAGACCGGCAACTTAAGTCTACTGAACTTCTTCAGCCAAGAGAGCAGGCTCACTGTGCTAATGACCCATAAATGTCACTGTCGCCCCGTTCTCCTTTACCCTTGGAGTGCCAGGCCACAGAGAAGATACGGCACACCTCCAGGCTCCTCTTTGTCTCCCCTCCTGTAACCAACCTTGCATCTGTGCGTGCCTCAGTGTACAGGGCACAGGAGACTGACCTCCTGACCTCTCCACTGGGACCTCCCTGTGGATTGGCTTTGTGTCCTCAAGAGATGGTTGGCTGGCTTCTCCTGGAACCAAGTGATAGGAGAAGGATGCTATACAGCTCTTGTTTCTGTGACCTAGCTTTGGGAGTCAGGCCTAATATTCCCACAGTGTCTCAGTCTGGGAGGAGGCTCCTGGTTCTTTTTGGAGTCTGGCTGCCCTCTGATCTCTCCAAACTTCCTGTCCATCTTCTTGCTCAGTCTCGCTCCTCATCAGTTTCACTCACTGCTCAACCTCTTTCCCAACCTTTGCTCGGAACCACCCAGTTCCCTGCAGATCTTTTTTCTGCAGATCTTGGAATACACCCACTGACATTGTTTCTCTTAACCCCCACCTTCCTGTTGTTGTCCTTGACCTCTTGGTCTGTGATAGCTTTCCTTTGGCCGGGCACCTTAGAGTCACTTGGATGTAGCTGCCAGCCTCCTTCTGCAGGATTACATCATGGTATTTGGGGAAGGAGTGCAGATAGGCAATAAAGGGTACTAAATATGTCATCGACTGCCAGATAGATGAAGAAAACATTTCCCTGAACTTTAATTCATCATCTGTCCAAACTGAAGACTTTTAAGGCGGCCATAACTTCAGAGTCAGGGCACACATCTTAAATGGCTGGGTTTTGATGCAGAGGGGTGTCCAGGGGGGCCCTCCGCGGTGCGCATTCTTGCTGGTTGAAAGGAGGAAGAACAAAGTCCATGTGGAACATTCCCAACATCTTGAGATTATAGACTGTCTGATGTGCTGATGTTTTATCTGATGGTGTCTCCTGGGTCTGCTGGTGGGGAAAGGCTGCCCAGATTTGTGAGGTGTGATGAAAGCGCCGGCTGTATCTAACCTGATTGGCAGAGCTAGAATGTAACTCTCTGACCTCCTGAACTTGGAGCCTTCTTTTCAAAGCTGTGAAATGTAAATCCACAGTAGCTGCTGACCTTAGACAGCTCTGCTTTCCCTGGAGCTTTGGCTTCTCTGGTGTATTTAAAACTAAGTTAATAATTTTCAGAACTAGGGAACTGGCCACTCCGGGGCTCTTTTCATTTCCCCAGAAACACTGTGTGGTGACTTCATCTTTGAACATAATTGATTTTGTTAGACAGGAACAGAAACAAAGAGGTGGATTAAGTAGTTTTGAAGACTTTGGTGCCCTAGCAAAATAAATCACGGCGTTGAATACCAGATGCTGTTTGTACATGGCGGTTATTCAATTATTCTGGTGAATTTGGGGCTAGCTCAGCCTTCTCGGCTGCAGCCCATTAGGGTAGATGGAGGAGCTCACCATGCAAACCAGTGTGTACAAGTTAGAGACACTGTAAGAACTTTAATTAAATGTGTTCATATTCACTACCCCCTTGCTCATGACCACAGGACACTGGAAACCCTTCTTGTTAGTTCATTGGAGGTAACTGTGTGGAGTGGGACTAACCATCACTCTAGAGATTATGAAGTTTGCAGTGAAAGCATGCAGACATTTTTAACATGAGGCCTCATGATACCTCCAGTCTCTTGCTCAAATGCCCTAACCCCTACTTGAAGGGCTCGCTCACTGCAGTGATAAAGTCCTAGCTGATTTTGGCTGACCACATGGTCTATGAAGGTGTGCTTAGGAATGGAAGGCTTCAAGGCAGGGATTCCGCATATTTATCAAGTTATCCACTATCTTATTTACATATACAGTGGATTCTGTTTATAATCATTAACCAGCTACAAATCTCAAATGCCATAATTCTCTTAGTAAGGACAGGGAAATGCAAAAAATATTTGCAAGTAAATAAATAAATAGAATTTTTTTAATAGTCATTTTGGTTTCCTGTATTTTCAACACGTTTTGTATGTCTCCTGGCCACAGTGAATATTATACATTATATATTTAACAATAGTGTTTCCTATTCAACAGCAGTCTTTTTGTGGAGTGTAATGAAATTGAAAGCCAATGTTTTATGGCCCTAGAGAGCCAGGCTTCATGGTGGGGAAGTCAAGCAAATTTAGTCATAAGCTGAATGATGAGAAGTTATAGCTTAGGTAGACCCTGAGCAAAGTGACTAACAGAATTACCAGTCATTGTCAGAATTACCAATGGTCATATCTCTTCATCTTGCATCCTTTTAAACAGTGCAGGTGTTTGCTGTAGATCTGACTGAACAGTGAGGAAAGAAAGGAAAAGTTTCAGTATTGTATTGTTTCCCATGTCTTGAACTCTGTTCATCTGTGTTATAATAAAATTATCCCTTTTAGTATTATGTTTTCATGACTTTTTTTTTTAATGAAAGTTATTTTCAAGTAGAGGAATATATTGGATAAGTCACTCCCATTAACTCAATACAGGGGTTTTTGAAAAGCTTTAGCACTTTAAAAAATGTCAGTTTAAGAGTTGGAAAGTGGTTGCCGTCATTTGCTAAAAAACCTACAACCCCATCCCGTCCCCCCACCCCCCTCTCCCTGCACAGGGCGCAGAGCCTTTCACACTCAATGCTTTTACACTTGGCACTTTTTGTTCCTTAGAGAACAGGCTCCCGCCACCTGTTCTGCTCCGTGCTTCTTGTCACCCTGGAGTCACAGCACAAAGCAGGTTTATAATTATGAGGCTGCACAAGGAATTGGGATAGGAAAGGAGAGGGGCTTTAGTCAGAATCAGTGGGGAGGTTACAGTTGGTGGCAAATATGTGCTTGCTAGTGAGCATGGAGGTAAATGTGTGTCCCAGCCTTTGCCCTCCTCAGGGAGCTTCTTGGGGAGTCAGTCAGGACATTGTGACAAGAAAGGGTTTTGGGAGAATGTTACCTGCTTGTAGAAGAGCTGAGCAAAGCAGGCCTAGAGGGCCAAGACTGGCTCTAATGTCTCATAAGTAGTGTGGAGACCTGTGTCCTGAGTTCGAGCACTGGAGACAAATGGCGGGTAATCATGCCTGACCCAGCCAGGGGCGAGCCACCTCATTCTGGGCAATGGGATGTAGATAAGTGGTAGACAGGTTCCTGTTCCTGTCACCCATTAGAATATGGTGACCAAGCCCACAGTCCATTTGTTCAGAGCTCTGGCTGTAACCAACAGGGCTCTTTTTATCTTTGAGATTTAATTTGTAGAAAAATTTTATTCTTTTTATTGTTTATTCCATTAAGGGCTGGGGTATTGGGAACGGCAGTGCATATTTTTAATTCCCGCACTCAGGAGGCTTACACGGGGGCTCATGAGTTCAAGGTGAACATGGGCTACAGAGCAAGAGCCCTATCACAAACAAATAGAACCAGACGGCTGATATTAGCTTAAGTTGGATCTTTTATTTCTTTGGTCATTTTCAGTCGAGAAAGGGTTAAATTAGAGGAGGAATCAGCTTGGAATGATTTAACAAGTTAAAGAATTGTAGCTCCTTGTTAGAGAAAGCACTACTAACTGAGGTTGAATTAATGTGCCATGGCAGTGACTTTGCTCAGTGGTTTTACAGGGGTGAACTAACATCCATTCTCTAAATTTCAAGCTGAGCACTGCTGCTTTGCCTTTTGAGAGCAGAAATTTAGACTTGGGAAGTTTAAGTAACTAATAAATAAAGGAAATTATTTGAGTTAATGTAACTATAAAACGTACAAGGAACAGTGCTGGGAATACACTGGCCAGGAAGTGGAAACAGCCCACGGCCTGGATGCCAGGCTGAAGAGCTGGGCTTATTTTAAAACATCCCAGCTTTTAGATGTTTTCTTGTACGGTGCTATCAATTCTGGAACCACTTCCAATTTCATTGCCAAAATATAAATAAAATAGGACAAGACAAAAAGATTAAGCACTGAAAATCCGATTGTTCACCAATCGTTTTATTGTTTGGAAGTAAAATGATTGAACAAAGAGCTGGCTGGGCATTTAGTCTAGAAGTATTACAACTCTCTATGGTGCTGAGATTTACATTTGCACTAATTTTAGTAGATGTTTAGCTGTGATGTCTTCAAGCGTGCTTTATTTTGTTGAAGTCAAAAATAGCACAGTTTACTTGAAAAAGTAGTACAATGTGAAATTTTGTGATATTTAATCTGAATTGAGGTTGTATCTGTGAAGTAAATGTATTCATGTATTATGTTGTGTAACAGGAAAAAGGAGAAGAAAATTCTGTATCATTTCCTGTATCAGTCATTTGACATTATATAAATACTATCTATCACATAAGGACTAGGAAGCTAGTGATTTGTAAATGTATCCTAATAAGCAATGGTTATTTTATTCTTTTAACAGATTTCTGCTCAAGGTGGATCTTCTTCCAATGTAAACGGTGGACCTGAGCTTGACTGTTGTACGAGTCCTGAAGGTGCTTCTCAACCTGATCATTATCCAAACTTGATGGCCATCCAGTCCCTTCCCCCATGCCACAATCGTTCCTAAATAGGGTGTGATGTGTCACTGACAGTCCAGGTAGCTTTAATGAGGCGCAGAGAGTGGCATCACAGGAGGATGTGGAGACTCTGACATAAGCCACATTATCCCTGTTTCAGATCTGAGAGCCAGGCTTCCTGTCTTGTGCTCTTACTGGTTGTATGCTCACAATCTCTAGATATTTTTCCGTTCTCTTAGTTAGATGAATACAAATACATTCTGCTTTGCCTGGATGACAGGACGCATGGTGATAAGTGGTCTGATCTTAACTCACAGTCCAGCGCACCACCCTCTTTCTTAGAAGGCTTTGATCCAAGAATTAGCCTCAACACAGTGTCTTACTTTGATAGAACTTTCTTTAGAACCAAGGAGAACACTCCAGAGCACTTCCTCAGACAGAATCCAGTCTCTTAGTGACACTTTGGGATTTGCTAGGCTTATTGATTTTTGTGGGTTTCTGATCCTAACCAACAAGGTCAAAAGGAAACTTGTGATTCAGACATTCTATTTAGGAAATATGTTGAGGGATTTTCTTTAATTTTGCTATAGACCTATAAATAATTGCATTGCATTTCATTATTTTCCAAGTGCCCAGGGTTTGATACAAAATGCTGATATTTCTTTCAGACTTTGTGTTTATCCTTGCTTGCAGGTGTGAATGGAAACAGGTGCTCTGAGTCATTCACTCTTCTGGAGAAATACAGAATCGGGAAGGTCATTGGAGATGGCAACTTCGCAGTAGTTAAAGAGTGTATGGACAGGTGAGTGGGATGACTTGTTCCCGCACAGATACAGTTCTCCCTCTGCAGTTTATTCTGAAGGCATTTCTGGAAGCATCTCTTTCCCTTTTCCTAAAAGAATCTGTCCTGGAGACTAGCCCTTTGACATGGCCACAAGCAGTTTATTTTAGCTATATACATAAAATTATTTTGTATGCATGTGGTCTAAAGGGCATATGAGAGCTCATCCACCATCTTGGAGAAAAGCAAGGAAGAAAATGAGCCACTGGAACTAGAAAATTCTCTGTAAGACACACGTCAGGCTCTGCTCAATGCCCAGTGTGTTTGTTTCTTCATTGGATTTTCACAGCAATGCTGAACTAGATCCCCAGCTCTGGACAAATGAGAATGACTGTGGGAGCAGAATGAACCAGTTCTGCTTGTTCTTGACCTTTGAAAACAACATCAAAGTCTTGTGTTTCTAGAACACTATCTTACCTGCTCTGAATGGGTGATTTTAATAGTTGTGGCAGGTTTTCTAGAATGTGCTGATACTTAACAGTTTGTTCATTTTGTTGCATCTCCAATGAGGGTTCTCTGCCTTTTCTATATTGCTATGTTTGATAACCCCTGTTCTTGAAGCCTTTTTATAGAACTCTGGCATATTTACTGTTCCCCAAGAAAACAATGAGGCATACAAAATGTAACTTCTAAGGACCTGTTAGGAATGTGGTTTATAACATGATGGGGGAAATTTATATATTACTTTTCCAGGCTGGGTCTCATCCCTGTATAATAATGCGCTTTGGCAGAAAGACCTATAGATGGGAGAACACATGTAATCCGATACTTTCTAAGAGTATTGTGATGGTCTCTGTTGAACTGTTTTCATTTGAGTATGGGGGAGGCTTTTTAAATTCAACTGCTAATATTGAGTAAAAATTAAATAGCATTGGATTAAGATTTTTGTGTTCAATAAGTGATTTCTTTAGTGCCAGGCAGGGTCTATAGGGTGTAAATGACATATGTAGCACCAGATCTTGCTGAAGGTATTGAGGGAAAATAGGAACTAAAAGTGTAAGCACTTTGCAGTTTTCAACTATAGAATCAGGTTGTTTATTTTTCAGTTAATCTGATCCACCTTTCTTTATTTCTTCTTGGAGACTTGTCTTGAGATTTAAGTGAAGAAAGTGTTTCTTTTCTTATGTTGATAAAACAGAATTTAAACACTTCAGTATGAGTCAATAATGTAAGAGAAGATTTAATTAGCCTGGCATTGTTTTTTTTTCTTTTCTATCTTGGGAGTTCCTTCCTCCTATGACCCCTCTCCACGCTGTGTCTAAGGGACAGAAGTGTGGGTGCTGTAGAGGAAGTTAGGACGGAAGGTTTATTCTGGTTTATAGCTTTAATGGTCTTTCTTTGGTCCTTCCTAGGTCTACTGGAAAAGAGTTTGCATTAAAGATCATAGACAAAGCCAAATGCTGTGGAAAGGTACAGTATGCACCCCTGCTGCATAGAAAGAATGTGTGGGTTCAGGTGGGGACCTGAGACCTTTGCTGCAGGAGATGGACTGCCAGCAACAGAAAAGAACGTCAACGTTTCCATCCCGCTGTTTTCTAGCAACTTTTAACTCTAAGATGGTAAATTTATTGATCTTGGTTATAATTATAGAAAACATAAAACTCTTTCTGGGAGATTCCTAGTCTGAAATCTAGCAACATTTAAAGGGCTGGAACTGAGGGCCATTAAATGTTAGTTACTTGTTTCCATGCTAAAGAGTTGGCCTTCTAACTTCAGGAAGCTGGCAGAAAATAAGGTTTCTGCTCCAGAGACAAAAAGAGATCACTGCTCACAACACATCAGGTGGCCTGCCTGCTCTGGCTCCCAGGTGACACTCAGGGGCCCAGTCAGAGGCTGTACATTCATGGGTTTCTAGCAGATCCGAGGAGCCCCACGCTTGAACACCCCTAGTCTTATGAGGCAGCTAATAGAACCCCACCCATGCTATTTGCTAGAGGAAGACATTTGTTTCCTTATCAGGGCCAGGAAATGACCTGGCCTTGTCCGTCTGTCTTCTGAGGAGGTTGGTTGCATAGATATCCCTGGGCAGGATGCTTGGAACAGTGGCTGAGGCCATGAAGTGAATCTTTCATCACAGTGACACATTTCTGACACATTCCTCTCAACCTGGGGTGGGAAGGATCCACTGGTGCCAGGCTGCTAGAGCACAGTAAGGAGACAACCACAGAGACTGTGGGCCTGTGCTGATTCCTCTGTGGTGGCAGATCTGTTCCAGGAGAAGGCTGTGGAGCAGTTTCAACACTAGGTGGAGCTGCTGGCCACACTTTGCTAAAGTGCTTGGATGATACAAGTCTGAAATAAACTGTGGCCTCCAAGTACACTTCAGATATAATGGGTTGTTACATTTTTAAGTTAATTTTTCCTGTTTGTCATATTTTCCATGTGACTATTAGAAATTTTAGTATGGCATATTTGAACTGGATTGTAATCCTGTTGGAAAATTACTCTAGCACCAGAATACATACAGTCAATCCTCCCTTTACCTTCTGCAATGTGACCCTGGACAAATGTTTAAGTCTTCTGTGTCTCTATGCTTCCTTTAAATGTGGTGACTGACTGTGTACGACACAAGGCTACTGCAGTGGTTGGTGGGATCGGGGAATAGAAAACACAACAAAGCACCACTGTGTGTAGGAAGAACTGACATGTGCTGCTGCCAACATTGTTAGCATGCCAGAGGGCTTTGGAATTTATAATTTTAGGGTGGTATGATAGTAGTTTACAATGTGAAATTGCTTTTAAAAACCAAGAAAACAAAACTAAAACATTGGACATTTATGAAACCATGTGATTTTAACAGAAAATTTAAAATAGTGTTAAGGATGTTCTAGAAAAACCTTCTACCTGGAAGTCAAATTTGTCATATGTTATTTTCTCTTGTAATTGTCAGTAAAACAAATGTGGTAAGATGGCCCTTTTCGGCCATATTCTTTAAACATTTCAATGTTGTTTTCTTTGTGTGTGTTTGTATATATGTTGTGGGATGTTTGTGTTTTTGTGAGGTGTGTACATGTATGTTTGTATTGTGTGTATATATATGTTTATGGTGTGTGTGTGTGTGTGTGTGTACACATCCAAAGACAACTTGGCCAAGTCAGTGTTCTTCCATTATTCAGGTCCCTGGAATCAAACTAAGGTTTTGGGTTGGGTAGTAGGCATTTTACCCATTGAGCCCTCTTTGCTTATGCTTCTAATGTTATTAATTTTCAAATGCAATAACCATTCCTCTATATTTAACTGTTAGCCTTTCTATCTTTGAGATGATCTAAGTACACTGTGTCATGATACAGGCCATATATGACTATTATATTTTCTTCAAAAATATTAAAGATAAGGTCAAGCTGCAAGTAGCTATTTTCATAAAGAATTTATTGTGATACAGTACTGACTGCTTAGACGTGTGGGGATAGGCCACTTCAAGTATTTGGATTTGTGCATTCTTGTTATGGAATGTGGTTCTATTTTTGTAGTCACAATCTTATGCTTCTCTACATTTTTATATTTTGATATTTGACCAATAAATTCCATATCAATATTGTATAGAATTATACCTTAAAAACTTGATGTTTCAGATTGTTTTTCTCCCACTGAAAAATTATATTTCCAGATTAAAAATAGCATAATTTGTTTACAATATTTAATAGGATCATCTGTCCACTGTTATGGGAAACATTGTTCACCTCTGCTTTGTGGGTTTTATACAGAAAGCTAGTGTGTTGAAAATAACTACCAGCTTGGGAACATAGGGTCTTTGCACAGTTGTGACTCAGAACACCTGTACCAGCTGTGCAGAGGAGGAAGCAGAGATTCAGGTTAACTAGCTTCTCATAGAGCAACAGAGATGGAGTCCTGACCTGAGTTTGGGAGCAGCCTCTACTTTGGCCAATCTGCCATGTACTTCTGTGTTTAAGTTTGTTCATTCTTTGTGTAATAGGAATCTAGGGAAATATCCATTCTTGTCTTCTGTTTCTTCTTCTATACATGAACATCATTAGGTTAAGTTATTCACTCTCTTGAATTTGGTGTGTGTTCTTTGTGTAGGACATGATGGCTCGGAGTAGGTAACTCACCACAGGAGTTACTACTGATTCTGAGTATGCTATGAGCTCTGGGAACTTATGGAAGAGGAATTGGTACCCAGTGACAATGCCATGGAGTGAGAAACATTTGAGGAGCATGGGAGATGGCTCAATGGGTTAAAGTGTTTCCCATGTAGCTAAGTTCAAGGTCCAGAACCCGTATGTATAAGGCAGGTCACATAATTCACACATCTGTAATCCCCATGTTCTTAAAGGGAAATGGAAGCAGAGACAAGAGACTCCGGAAGGAGTCAGCTAGCCTGGCATACAGAGCAGAGAGACATCCAGGAGACCTTTTCTCAAACAACGTGAAGGCTGAAGACGATGATACCTGTAGTTCTCTGACCCTTACATGAGCGCTGTGGCATGCACACAGCTGCTGTGTGTACACACACACACACACATCTGAGCTCCCCCACACACACCTGAGCTCCTACACACACACACACACACACACACACACACACACACACACACACACACACACCTACACACCTGAGCTCCTCCTGAACTGTTGTCAGGGTTATGGCAGGCAATGATGAAAGAATAACCTGACAGGCAGCAAAAATAGATTGCAAAAAGTCTTCCCAGTCCCTTTCCTCCTTGTATAAAGCTTGGTATGACCTTTACCTCCAGTGACAATTCAGTGCTACTGTTCATTCCTGTCTTTTCAGTGAAATAATATCTCCATTTTTACAACTGTCATTTTACCTTTTAAAAATTCCAACTTTAATTTCACTCTGGTGTTCCCTTTTAAAAGCAATTGTGCGGGCTGGAGAGGTGATGATGGCTCAGTGGTTACAAGCACTGGCTGCTCTTCCAGAGGACCCAATTTCATTCCCAGCACTCACAAAGCAGCTAACAACTGTCTGTAACTCCAGTTCCAAGAGATCTAACACCTTCATGCAGGCAAACCAAACATACATGAAAAAAATTAAAAATACAAGGCAGTGATGCCCTGTAGGAGAAATGTGTACGTGGGGCATGAATACCAGGCTTAGATCCCCAGCTCCAAGAACTGAAACAAGGAATGTCAGGACATTACACAAGAGCCTTGTTCTGTGCTTGGCAATTACCGAGTCGTTTTCTAGTTGACGCTCTGATTTGGCATTCACTGTCTTTTGCCAACATCTTGGGTAGGCATAGTACATTCAGTGCCCAAGAATTTCAACCCAGCATGTGCAGGAGATTACGGTAGATTTTGTTCTTGGATGGTACTTGTCCATTTCTTTTTTTTTTTAAATGTACATCATGGCACATTTGTCCATTTATTATAACTTATTCTTCCAGGTATTGTCAGGAGATATTTGAATTAGAGTAAAAACATAAATGCACATACACACCAAAGATACAGAAAAACCAGAAATGGTGTCTGAAACTAGGGTTAAAGTGCCATGTCAGAACACCAGATTTAGCTCTGAGAGTCATGGTAGTAAAGGTCAAGAGCAAATTCAGCAGCACATACATAGACAGACAGACAGACACACACACACACACACACACACACACCTACATAGATATGCATATACACACACCTTAAGATGATAAATATATTTTCCATATAAAATTGTCTTTTTTAGCATTTAGAATGTTGAAGAGAGCAGCTTGCAGCTTTTATAGAGCATTTTCTAAGTTCAGATGGATCTGTCTGATGTTAGTGACGGCCCACATGTGCAGCATGTAGAACAGAGGGTCACTGTGTATAACTTGTGGATAATTTCTTAATTCTGTAAGCGAGCATTTTACTACAGAGCAGTCCTCGTCCACGTCACTCAGCATGAGCAACACTGAGGTAGTGTTTGCAGGGCAGAGGTGATTACAGTTAAAATGAGTTGTGTGGCACAACGCCTTCCCGATTCCTGAAATATGCAGTGTAAGGAACACCCATCTGGTGAATGACTTCATATTCACTCATAGAAGGAGAAAGCTTATTTTTCATGAATTTTAGCATAAAACTAAAATTTATATTGGTCACAGTCAAACACTTTGACCTCAGAGCTTGTGTACCAATTTCCCTTATATGCCTAGTTCTTATTTTTGCATAGAATACTGAAATTAGAAAGTGGTTCTGGTTTTGCTGCTCGGTGCCCAGTGCCATGTGGACACTGTCTTCAGTATCATTGCTCAGAGTGGAGTCATCCACAGTATGTGTCAGTATGGTCACATTGAACCCTTCTTTCTGGGCATGCTCAGAAGGCATTTTCTTTAGGGTCTTGACAAAAAGATAGTCATTAGTGGCCTGTCCTATTTCTGGGAGATTTCAGTAAGCAGGTATGGTTGTCCTGTGCCAAGAGACATGTTATGCTTGGCATCAGAAATGAAGACTGATTTATTGTCCTCCAGGCCATAGGGGCAGAGCCGAAGGTTCTATGGTGTTTGATGTCCGTCTCTACACTCTTTATTGGCAGGAGCATCTGATTGAGAATGAAGTGTCAATACTGCGCCGAGTGAAGCATCCCAACATCATCATGTTGGTGGAGGAGATGGAAACAGCAACTGAGCTCTTTCTAGTGATGGAACTGGTCAAAGTAAGAGGGCCGACAGTGCACTGGCACCAAATCTCAAATCAGCTTGCAACGTGTCAAAAAGTACCCTATAGCTTCTTAACTTTAGTTATTCATACACATCAGTTTGATGCGTGGCCCTTCCTTCATCTGCTCCAAGCTGATGTGACACCCTTCTTATCTCATGGACTGAGCTGCTGACATTTCTATGTCTCCTCCTTTTACCCGATAGGGTGGAGATCTCTTTGATGCAATCACTTCCTCAACCAAGTACACCGAGAGAGATGGAAGTGCCATGGTGTACAACCTAGCCAATGCCCTCAGATATCTGCATGGCCTCAGCATTGTGCACAGAGACATCAAGCCGGAGAACCTTCTAGTATGTTCTGAATCTCTGCTATTTCATTTTCAACTCGTGCTTCATGATTGTAATACTATGAAAACCACAACACATATAAATGACATTAAGAGTGTAAACCAGTATCACAATAATGAACAGAGCACTGGAGAGAAACTTGAGAACAATCAGTAAGTTCAGGCTGACTGGGGTGTTTTGCATACACACAATAAAATCCTAATGGGTTTCTTGAATTGATGTGCATTTTGTTTTGCAGACATTGGAAAATATATATCCATTTGTCTTTGATTATGTTAGTCAGCTTCATGTTATGATAATGGAATATATGACATACTTAATATATAAAGAGAAAAGTGTTTTGGATTTTGGCTTAAAGTTATGGAGATTCCAGTCCAGTATGGGTGGACTCATTGCTTTAGTCCTCTGATGGCATTGGCTGATGGTGAGCATGAGATGAGGGAGGGCCGTTTCTTTATGATCCAGGAAGGGAAGGGAAAAAAAGGGAGAGAAGGAAGGAAGGAAGGGAAGGAAGGGAAGGAAGGGGAGGGAGGGAAGGAGGAAGGAATGAAGGAAGAGAAGGAAGAAAGGGGAGGAAGAGAAGGGGAGGAAAAGAGGAAGGAAGGGAGGGAGGGAGGGAGGGAGGGAGGGAGGGAGGGAGGGAGGGGAGAGAGAGAGACTCCAGGGCCTTTGAGGATCTGTAATGAAGTTAAAGTACCTTGCACAAAGTTCTGCCTGAAAAAGGTTTCACCACCCACTACTAGCACCGTCATGAGGATGAAGCCTCTTACACAGAGGTGTCTGGGGAACCTTTAGCATCTACACTTACAACAGTAATGCTAACTAAATGAAGGAGAACACAGTTGTATGGTGCAGAACATTGAAGAATATATTGGAGACAAGCAGAGACATATGGGTGAGTATAGAACAGATGTGTTCATGTGCAAACTGAAATTTGGAGGTAGTCAGTCTTGTTCTTAGCTTTGTGGGTATGGAAATTGAAGCTAAGATACACACCTCCCCCCTTCCCCCCCCCCCGTTTGAAATTGTCTTGTATTCTATTCTACAGAATGTAAAGTGTTTTCAGGGACCTTGGTATATGGCCTTGATCTGTTTTACCGGCCTCCTGACCTTCTATAACCCTGTCTCCTCCATCTGGCTCAGCACTCACCTCTAACCCATGTTCAAGTCCCCTTCGTGGTGGACTGTGATAACTAGAGCTTTCTTGCCAGGCAGCGTCTGTGAGAGTTCACTGTCTGTGAGGAGTCAGAGGAGCTGTTTTGGGGAGTTTTGTACATACACACTCTTTCAAATACAAGGTAGCTGGCTTCTCTGTTACCTTCATAGCTGAGTGGTGCCGTAGCTGCCCTTTCGTAGAGAGGCTATCTGTGTCCTGCTCCACTGTCTTAATTCCAGCTGCTTTCTCCGTCCTCTGCAGCAGAGACTTCACCGATAGCATCACACCTGCATTTCTTCTGTCTCAGTCTGTATTGGTAATATTCTCCCCCAGTGTGGCTAACCTCTTCCTTCATCTTGTAAGACGGTGGGTAAAGTAACTCGTTTGGCATTACCCCGGCATCTCTGAATAGACTTTAGGCAAGGTCCTTCTTGGGTTCTGCAGCACTTGTCACAGGTTGTGATTTTATATACTCTCATCCATCTCCTCCTTCAGATTTTAAGTCCAGTAGACTAGAGTTCATGACCCTTCTCTCCCTAATGTCTTGGACAGTGTCCAGCAGGTACACTGTGGATGTATGGAGTAGTACCTGGTGGTGGCTCTCATAGTTATTCAGCTAGGCAGCAATTGAATAAATACCATTATAGTCAACCTCAGGCACCACACAAATGATGATTAAAGGGATATGTGGCAATCACCCCAGGGACTTCTGTTTTAAAAATTGAAAATACTTAGTTTTGCTAACCCAGAGTGTCCATTTTCCATTTGCTAATACCATTTGTTCACATCTTGTTTATCTGAAAGTCTGAGTAGCCCTCGTCCTCCCTCGGCCCTCCCCTGCCCTCTTTGTTGAAAACCGTTTATTTCCCTTCAATCATCTTTCCATTTTGTTTACATTTCTGCAGCAGAACAGCTAGAACAGCTCAGTGGGTGTTTCTTGCCATTCAGTGGCCAGGCAGTGGGAGCTGCAAGCAGTCCTCTGTGGTTGCTTGGTACCCCACTTCTAGACAGGTATAGAGGGTGCCTGATCGCCTACAGACCAGTCTACCACCCCAGGCTGAGCAGCGGAGGGGTCAGGATTTGAGGCATTGAGATCATCCTATTTTAGCTTCTTGAGAGACTGGTGCTGGGGATGTGAGTACCTCTGTGCTTGGTTGCAGACATTTGTGTGTGTATGATGCTAAGACTTAACAGGTGGCCTTGCTCGTGCTATGCACTCCCCCATGGAGCTATACCATAGGCACTCAGTCTCTTAATCTGTGTGGTCGTCTCAGAGCTCAGATACTGTCTCAAGGTAGACAGTGTGTGGAGGGCAGATAAGGAATGACACTGATGTCCCCAACCTCGGTCTCAGAGACAATAGGGAGATCCAATTGCAGGTACTCTCCTGTAAGTGAGTTTTCACCTCTTCTCCTAAATGTGCATTAGGGGGCTGGTAGCACCCAAAGGGGAGGGAAATGCTAGGACTAGTGGCTGCTACAGGCAGGCTGAGGAGTCAGCCTCCAGGAATGTCCTTCTAAAAGTACACATGCCTGAGCAGCGTATGTGTCAGGCGTGGAAGAGCAAGTCTCTTGTATGCGCCGTCGGCATTGGCCTGAGGAGAAAGCGCCACTGAAGCCCCGCAAGTAAATGCCCCACACGGCTCTTGCTCTCCTGTCTGAGAACTAATTCAGTTTTTAAGCAGCAGGGCATTCTGACATCTGATTTGCATCCCGGACCCTGGCAGCAGTGTCATAACTTAAAACACTGCCAAGGCAGATGAATGGGTCGTGTGTCAGGGAGCATGGAGGTGGCCGTTAATGCTGTGAGTTACAGCCCAGGGGTGCCCTGTCATAGTCAAGTATGGGAGACTAGTGATAAATCCAGGGTTTCCGGGAGTTCTGGGACAGGAGAGAAGAGGTTTGGTTTCTCATAGTTGATGTCCTTCTAAATCATTACACTGGCATTTTATTTAGCGAGCATAAGGGATTCACTTTGGATGTTGGACCTGCATTTCTCACATTTTTCAGGTTTGCACTCTGCCAGCTATTTGACAGAGCATCTCTCAGTGAGAGGTGGGCCATTTGAACGTGGCAGGGCTGGGGTTTTCACAGTTGTTTAAATTCATTCAAAATCTGCACATGAGGCTGCCTGGGTTTTGGCATTGTTTAGAGACAGCATCCACTGCATGGTGGGTTAGTGTGACGATGCGGGGTCCTGGCTGCAAAGCATGCTTGGTAGCTTAAGCTGAGTTCCAGGCGCCTCAGTTTCCTTGCCTGCAAAATGTAGGTAGCAATTCTTTTTCTGGTTGGCCCTTGTGGTCCCCGTCTAAGTCTGGAAGTGTGCTTGAGAGGTAATTTAAATCTGCGAAGTTCCTGAGGCTATCGGTAATGGCCAGAGATCCTTGGGAACCTGAATCCTTCATTTGTCTTTCTGTGACAGTCATCCCCTCCCTCTCTCCTTCCCTTCCAGGCCTGGTGCAGGGTAGGCAAGCTCTCCACCTCTGTGCTCCACCCGAGCTCACAGTCAATTTCCTAAAGCAGTGTCTCTTAGCCATGCAGATACACAATGGCGTTTAATTTTCCTTGTAGATTTGAAGAGCATCTCCAGCTAAGATTTTAAGGTTATTAATACTTTACGTATTTCTTCTACATTGGGAGGAGATGATTCAGATAAATCACTATTATTTCCCACTTCTCTGTCCGAGTCATAACTTTCTTTCCTTGTTTAACCCAGGACTATACCACTTGTCCCAACAGCTGAGCAGCTATAGGCTGCTCACTCCTTTTCTGTCTGAACTTCTGCTTCTGACTGAGTTCTGGGGGGGGAGGGTATGGCTTCTGAGACTGTCTGACAACACCCTCCCAGCACCCCTAGACATTTCTAAATGGAGTGTTTAAAATAAACACAGTTTTAGAAAAACAGTACCTAATGAGTTGTAAAAATAAAATAACAGTGACAGAGAAACTTTGACTTAAGATACAGACATTTCATTTAGGAAATCATGCTTATAAATGTTCTTATCACTACAGTTTCTTAGGGAACTTGGTTCTAATGTTTGGGTTTCAGTAAATGCACCATAAATCCTAACTCTAATTATATTAGATTGTTTTCACTAATGTTTACATTAAACACTGTGGCCGGGAAACTGTCCTATGTGGCGTGACTAAGAATCTAGACTCTGTGGCTTCAAGCCAGATCATTTGTATATTTGAATATGCTTCTGCCGTGTCATGGGGTTCACACAGAGCAGTGCATACTTTAGAGAGGCTCAAAATCATTACTGTTACTCCCATGACTCTAAAGTCATGAAGATGTGTGTGATGTGTGCAAACATGGAATACATTTCCTATAACAGATGAAGGCAAGCAGGATGGGGAGGTGAGCCGTCAGTGGTCCTTCAGAATGCCCATAAAGCTCAGGCAGTTTGTCATAGGGAGCCACAGGGTCTGTGTGCTTTCTGCTGATGATGCCTATGTTGATCACCACAGTGGATGATGCTGTTAGCCGCCGATGTTGTGGAGACAGCGCCTTCTCAATATCTCCAGTTAAGTGTAAAACACCCAGAGAAACAAGTAGTATGTAAAATACAAAAATAGAGACTTGCATATTCATTTGGTCTGTGCTGCTGTGTTTCTCTGAAAATTGGTGCTTTCAAATGGACACACAAGAGACAGTGTATACTGGACGGTTCTGGATCATGCAGCCAATTCCATGTTAGCCATGAGCATGCTCATTGGCCTCCAAAACTGTCTACTTGTAATGTCTTTCCAGGGTTATATCACTTAAGGAAAGTTTGCTTGGATATAAGGAAAATCTTTTTCAATTTATGTGATCATTTGTAAGCACATGGATATGTTTACAAGTTTAAGAAATCTCAAGAAGGAAATTAAAGTACTCAGTTCTGCTCAAAGAAAGCCTTGTTAAGGCTGGGACATTGTAGTTCATGTACAATTTTTACTTTTGAAAAGCCATATAATATAGTCAATAACTTATGGTAAATATTTATTGGAAATAATATTAGCTACATATCATTTTATCATAGGCATGTACCCTAATTTACTCAGCCACTTGGCTGAATCTGTGTTTAAAAATCATAAATACAGACATTGACAGCTGTGTGTAACATCTGGGTCTTTCTGTTTCTTTCTAGTAGATTGTTAGTTATAGATTTATTGGGCATAGTTCCTGTTTAGATTAATGCTGTCTGTTTCCAAAGTGCATTTTAAGCTTTTGAGTTTAAGCTTCTGAGTTTCTTACCTTGTAATGTTTATATTTTAGGTTCAGGGTGTATCAGTGGTAGGGATGCTGGTCAACGTAACTAGACACTGAATTCAACTTCCAGCCCACATATGGGGCCAGAAAAGAGCAGAGCACATAATACTCACACTTCTCCCGCTGCCCAGAGAGCAAGTCTGCTGCCCCGAGGGTCAGCAGGAGGTTCTCCAGGAGAACCCTCACATTTATGTTTAATAAACACCCTTTCTTTGGGTTCCAGTATCTTGAGAACCACATCAAGCACTAAATACAGGTCAGTTTCTTACGTGCTGGCTTTGGGGCCTTGTGACTGCTATGCCAGCAGCCATTTGTCCCCAGCTGCTTAAGTAGGCAAGTAGAGGGTTTGTTAGAATGCTAGGGAAGGAAGGTGCTTCCTGCAAAGATAGAAAATAGTGTCTTTCCAATTTCACACAGTTGAACAGAAACCTCTGAAGAGATGGTGGCTCAGCCCTTTAAAAACTGTGTTGTCCTTACCAGAAGAATTTTCCTTAGGTCTGTCCTGCCTGAGTCCAAGGTCCCTCTCACAATTATTGTAGGGAAATAAAAAAAGATGATTGTTGGCTTCTGTTTCAGGTGTGCGAATATCCGGATGGAACCAAGTCCTTGAAGCTGGGAGACTTTGGGCTGGCGACAGTAGTTGAAGGCCCTTTGTACACAGTCTGTGGCACACCGACTTACGTGGCACCAGAAATCATTGCTGAAACAGGGTGAGAGTCTGTTGGTCTCCGGTCATGCTCTGACATTGGCGAGAAAGACACATAGTTGTCCCTGCGTCTTTTGTGCTCCGTGTGTCCTGTGGAGGAAGCCAGGGAAGCAGAGAGATGTGACCTGAAGCATGGCCTTGACATTAAGGAAAAGCTTGTTCTTATCTGGCTCAGAGCCCAAGGCCTGTACTTCTGTCCTTGAGTCAGTGTTGGAGGTGGGGACAGAGGACAACTCCTGTGTGACAGTGACAAAGGCAGTAGTACTTCAGCAGGTGGTGGTGCTTAAGGAAGCCAGTCATTACCTACTCTCCCTCACTGTCTTGCAGCTATGGCCTGAAGGTGGATGTTTGGGCAGCCGGCGTGATTACGTACATTCTGCTCTGTGGATTCCCACCATTCCGGAGGTAACTGTATTTGAATTATAAATTTTCAGACACTTAAACCTGCCCATGCAACAAGCAAAGTCATTTTGATACGCACGCACGCACGCTGCTTGAACACGGGGATCATGCTTGCATTCTCTGCTCTGAGCTGTACCCAGCCTGACCTTACTTCAGATATGAGGCCTTTGCTTTGTGTGTGACCCTCTGAGCTCCTTGGCTGTCCTTCATCAAATATATTCCTAATACAGTCTCAGACTTTGCAGCTTCTCACTCATTTTAAAGAAGGGTGGGATTAAAGGTCCTTGAGTAGAAACGGGAATCAACTAGGTAAGCTCCTTCAAGTTCTTGCTGTAGTATTACTTTTACCCTAGATTTTTATATGAAATTTCCAAAGCTCCCAACATGCTTCCTGTGACACCAGGTGCTCTTTATGGTAGTTTTAGTCCCACATGTAGCATTTATTACCTGAGAGAGGTGGAGTTTGTCATCAGCCGGACTGGGAAGGAACAGCTGATGTGCAGAGGTGAACACAGACGGGCCTGGGGCTGGCCGTCCAGCCATCCGTCCAGGCCTGAGCCGGCCACGTTGGCTGCAGCCCTTCTCAGATGTGTTTCATTGCCTGCTCTGGGCAGAAGAACATCTACTGGTGCTTGGCTGCTTCTCTGCCTGTCTTCTCTGCCCCTCCCTCACTGTTTGGTGAGCCAGGCACAATGGTGAGTGATGGCACTGTCCTCAGAGCTGTGATTTTTTAGTCCCATTTCTGCTACTGTAAGGAACTGCCACAAACTATGTGACTTAGACTGGAAACTTATTCTCAACAGTGCTTGCTAGAGGCTGGGAGGTTCAGGACCAAAGTACCAGTAGGCTTGGTGTCTGGTATAGACTACCTCCTGGTCCAGGGACAGCTATTTTCTCAGTGCACATTCACACAGCAGAAAAGGAAAAGGCAACCTCTAGGAACTGCTTACTGTCTTACCTTTTTTTTTTTTTTGTAAATGATGTGGTGTGAGCTCAAGGCATCATGCTAGGCAGGCAGGTACTCTACCGCTGAACTCTGTCCTCTCTAGGGACTTTCACAGGAACACTACAGTTGTATTCATGAAGGCTCTGCCCTTGTAACTCCAGCTGTGTCCCAGAAGCCCACCTCCTAATGCTGTCCAAGTGAGGATTAAGTTTCCCCATAAGGAGTTCTGAGGTGTACACAATAGTGTTTAAGCGTTATATTATGGTTAGCAATGAAAAATAGTTTTCTCTTTTCTTTCCTAACATTATGAAAACTCCCTGTAAAAAGAAAGTTTAATTTTTTTTCCTTTAAATCCTCACATTTTCAGTTTGTGAGCAGAACGACACAGAAATGTTAGTCTGCTTTTGAAGAGTTTATGGTATAGAGACAAGGAACAAATGGATGATGACCCAGAAAAATGGATTGGTATGCTTGGTTGACTGGCTGAGAGATGGCTAAGCATAAGTAGATGTGATGAAATTAACTAAAGGACTCTATTATGTAAGGCAGAAGGGAGGAAGTAGAGAGTGGGTCGTGTGTAAATCTTTTTTTTTTTTCCCCCCCAGCCACTTGTGGCCTGGGCTGATTTTTGTAGGGAGCTGGACAGAGGTAGAAGGATGGTGTGTTTTGTTAACAGATGCTATCTGGACCAGTTCCTCTTCATGACTTATCCAAGTTGACATCAAGGAATAGGGATTTGAGGGATCAGCATTAGGGAATGTATGCTCACAACTCCCTCTAGTGTTTATAGTTTCTGATTCAGCCAGGGAGAGTTGCATTTTATTGTTATGGAAGAGGGTTCAAGTTGGATGCCACTGTCCCTGGAGGGCAGCAGCATCAGCACTGTGGAATGGAGAGAGAGTCGGGCTCATTAGAACAGCCCACTATATTCTGAAGGGGCTACCTATAGTGTCAAAAAAGCCCTAGCTTTTACGTTTTAAGAAAGTGCTTTTCCTCTTTGCTAGTGAGGATAATCTGTGACGTGAAATACCTTTTCTAGAAGCATCTTCGAAGCACAGACATGTTAGATTTTGAAACCTACTGTTATATAGAAATGCGTATGGGAAATTAAGGATGTGACAATTGAAATTATTATTGTCTGGTATGGATGGTGGAAATGTGTGTGTCTAGGACTGTGGAGGGAGCTCACTTGATTGGTAGAGAGAAGGCTTTGTAACACAGGAAGCCCCTTGGTTCAATCCCCAGCACTACATAAAACCCAAGATAGCAGTGCATGCCCATAATCCCAGCACATAGGATTTGGGATTAAGGGAGAGTTCAAAGCCACCGACCCTCTGTGTGGACCAGCAGGTGTCTTGCAAGTGCTTCCCTTGAATATAACAAGTCAGTCATGTCATCAGACAGACCTTGCTATTGTTCCGAGCCACTGCCCTAAGTGATCTGTTTCTAAGGACTCTGTGCTTTGTGCCTTTTGAGAAGGTGGGAATCAAAACCCTAAAAGCTTGACAGAGAAATTATAAGAAATTTGCACTTTTCCCAGGTAATTCCTGACTTGTACTCCTGGATTTTAATTTTAGTCCTAACAGCCTATTCTGAGTTTTCCGTTGGTGCCTACGGTGGACCAAAAAGTTAAACATGTTTCCTGTTTTAAGTCCTGTTTTCACCACATGTGGGGACATTCTGCATCCAAAATCTTCAGTGTTCTCACATTCCACTGGCTCCTTCCATCAACCCCTGAGTACCATGTATTTGTTAGACACCGTGTATGTTTAGGGAAGGGCCAAGCAGCGTGGGTTGGGAGATGCCTACCTGAGAGCATCCAGGTGCCTTGCCTTGACTGAGCAAGTCTAGCTGGCATCTTTGAATATGTCCCTTCTCTGAGACTGAGCACAAAGGAAGGTTGAGTTGTGGTGGAGAGCAAATAAATTAACATCATGATTTTTTAAATGAACTCCACATGATTTTCAATAATCTTGGTGTTTTATTGAGAAAAGTGGAAGAAGGTTGAGTAGAAGCTCGTTTTTACTGTTAGAGTCATGAGTGGTGGCGAAGCTGTCATTCTTCCCCCAGGGTTTCCATTGTTTGTAATTTCTGGTTTTTGTTGCTTGACACACACACACACACACACACACACACACACACACACACACACACACACACACACGAGATCTCTCTGTGTATGTATACACACACATCATACATACACATAATAGGGTTTTGTTTTTGTTTTCTGAGATGGGCTCTGGCTATTTTCTTTGGTTGGTCTTGAACTTGGGCTCCAGTGATAATACTGCCTCAGCTCTTCAAGTGTCTGGTACTGCAGGGACATGCCCTAGCACCTGGCTCTCATTTTAACCATCTATAAGCACACTGCCATTCATACTGTCCACTGCTGGAACTTTTTCATCTTTCTAGACTGAAACTCGGCTTGAGTCATTTTCTGTCTCTCTGGTTCCCAGGCCTAGGAAGCGTCCTTGGTCTCATTATCTACAAAGAAAATTCTGTTGTCACCGTGCAGCTATGACACACAACTGAGCAATGCAAAATCTCAAGCCAAAGAGCCTGGGCTCCTTCCTGTTGCTCAGCGCCTCTTCGTGACTCAGTTTCTTTTTCATTCCTTTGTCACCAGTGAAAACAATCTCCAGGAAGATCTCTTTGACCAGATCTTGGCTGGGAAACTGGAGTTTCCAGCCCCCTACTGGGACAACATTACAGACTCTGCCAAGGTACTCTGTAGGGCTCTTCCTGTATACACTGCAGGGGCCTTCCTTACATGTGGGGCTGGACAGCCCACTGCTTGGGGCTCCAGAGACTTGACTTGTAATGTGTGGTGCTTTTGCAAATTTACTTGATAGTGTAGTCTCTGCAGTCCCTAACTAGATTGAAACCTGGACTACAATTCCCTCCCTCCACTGCTCCTCTAATCTCTATAGACATTCACGTTCCCTTTAAAAAAAGAAAAAGAAAAAGTATATGTTGGGCACCAGAATTAATAAACTAAGTGATGAAAGGGTAAATAACACAACATTCTACTGTGGAGTGAAGATAAAGACCTGGAAGTCTTAAGAGAGCCAACCTTAGTGCCTGTAGATTCAAGGGAGACTTCTCGCGCACTGTGCTGGTGCACTGTGCTGGCACAGGCGGTGATCCATGCCTGTCTCACAGCACTGAAAGTGTGGGTGGTGGGCTTTGTGCTCCCGTGGCAGAGCTGCCATGTTAGCTTTTGATTTCTGTGTTTATGCTGGAATCATCCTCTTTCTCCCCTGTGGTCTTCTTCCCCTCCCCTCCCCTCCCCTTCCTAGGAATTAATCAGTCAGATGCTCCAGGTAAATGTTGAAGCTCGCTGTACTGCAGGAGAAATTCTGAGTCACCCCTGGGTGTCCGTAAGTACCCATGTTCCCAGGGAATGGATGGATTGGTGCTGCATGGTCAGCGGCATGCTTCCTTGCTGCCTGTTTTGCACAGACATAGTTGGGCATTTAAATTCTATAGCATGTCTACCCTAATGATCAAGTAGCGTGGGAGAAGATGGCTGATTTCAGAGTTCTCCATCTGCCCAGTGAATAACCTGGATAGTCTGCCCTTTGCTGGATCTCAATTTACTCACCTGTGAAGTGATGGGGTTGGCCATGATGCTCTTTAAGGATTCCTTCTGTGGCTTCTTTCTAGTTGTGGGGTTTATGTTTTCCCCAGAGACGAACATGTTTCAGAGTGTCCTCATGGCACACAGTCCTCCTGTGGACTGGAAGGAGAGAAGATGTGGTGGTGATCTCATGTTCTCTCTGGGCAAACACGGTAAACTTGAGGGCAACTCCTGAATATTGAGTTAACTAGCCACAAGGCTGTATCACTGTATACTTCTTCTGTCCTGCAAACTGCTGCCCTGGGCTGAATGACTACATAGAGGAGACACCCACCATAAATCTTTGTGCTAATTAGGACTATCAGCTGAATGACTTTTGTGTTGGGGATTGAACCTTGAGCATGTAGCATGTTCTCTGTCATTTTTTTTTTTTTAACTTAAGACATGGGTCAAACAGCTAGGTGGTTGTGGTGGTGCAATCTTTTAATTCCAGCAATCAGAAGCCAGAGGCAGGCAGATCTCTTGTGAGTTCGAGGATAGCCTGTGTCTACAGAGCAAGTTCCTGGACAGCCAGAGATACACAGAGAAACCCTCTCTCAAAAAACAGAGAAATGGGTCAGACTTCAGGCTCAAGCCACATTCCCTCCTCAACCTGCCATGTAACCAGAGCTACAGGGAGGCATCACCACCCCAGACATAGATTCTTGATTAAAGTGATAAACTGTTAATTTCCATGGGATGAGTTGTGTTATAGTTGCTTGGGAGAGAGCTTCAGAAACCTAAACAGAGCCATCCTTTCTTCCAGTGGAGACCCATGCCTTCCCGTCTTAGAGCTGGAATAGATGGCATGTCTTTCTGAAGGCATGAGGCATGGTACTGCAGGGTGACAATACAGAATTCTGCGTGTTTTGTCCCGCTGAGGATGGAGTCCAGGATCTCACACATGCTAGGCCAGTGCTCTTCCACAGCTCAGCAGAGGCTGAGAGGAACCTGCTCAGGAAGACATCCCCGGGCTGATGGCAGAGAAGGTGGTAACTGTTGAAGAACAGTTGAAGTATTAAGGGGTCAGAGTCAACTGTGTTTGTTTCTTTCTCTGTAGGATGACGCATCCCAGGAGAATAATATGCAAGCTGAGGTTACAGGTAAACTAAAACAGCACTTCAATAACGCGCTCCCCAAACAGAACAGCACTACTACTGGGGTCTCCGTCATCATGGTAAGTGGGATGCAGAGCTCTGCCTCAGACAGCTGGGGACATCTGGCCTGGCTGCAGAGCTGGAGTTGTTTTCTGAGCTAGATAGCCAGGGTTCCACTCATGGAAGCTGTTGTCTTCCATGGTCCTGTGTTCATGGGAGGATGGACTGGCATGTGCAGGGTGCTTTCTGCACAACTCCCTGGACTCTGCATGGCAGGCTAGAGGCTGGCAGGTGACACAGAGCCACAGCGACAGGCACAAGGGAGCTCCTGGGCTGGGGGCTTTCTGGGCAGCTGCCTTCAGCCTCATACCCAACATTACGTCCAGGGAGAGATGACAACCATCCCTGGCACTGTGTAAGGCAGTGAGGCCCTGCCTTCTCCAGGCTTATGATTGTTTGAATGTGATTTCCCTGGGACTTGAGATAAGAATAAGAAGCAGCCAAGTTAACAAATTCCACTTTGTTATGTTAAAAAAAAAAAAAAGTTGGTGTATTTTATAAAGCCGTAGAATAATTCCTTTTTAATTAGTTTTTCATGGTTAATATTTTATATAAAAAAGTAACAGTGATCCTATTTTTGCACTTCTCCAAAATACTTAAGGTCACATATTTAAACACAGAAAATGAAAAGTAACATTAAGGAAAACCAAAAGGAGATATAGGACAGAAAAATAAAACACAAGCAAGGTCAGTAATTCCCAGTCCTGGCTGCCCAGGCTGGAGCTCTTGTGGGGCTGCAAGCCTCTCTGTTCTGAGCATCTCCTGCCTGCTACTCAGCCAGGCTATCTCCAGCAGCAGCCGAGCTGTCCTGCCCACTCACGGCAGATGGCAGGGCCAAGGGCATGGACACCCAGAGCAGGTGCCTGCGATGGGCTGATCAGCAACTCTGTCACTCCTGCAGCAGCCTCGTCCCCTGGGAAAGGTTCTCGGTATTCTTCCCACACTACAGGGAAATGGACTTACTCTCCTGACAGTCCAGGAAGCCAGACCACACATGCGCACACCCCTTACAGCTATGTGTGCTCTGCAGTTGGTTAAGCCACTGCATTCCTGGCACCTGCTGGTCCATGGTGCCATTCCTTTCACCCAAAGAGGCTATGCTGGTTTGGAAGGCTCCCTCCCAGTCCTTCCTGTGCCCCCCCCCCATGCTGGGAACTGTGCTCCCTTACTTCCCATGCATAGCTTGAGTCTGCTGCACTCTGGGATGCTCTGTGTTGAACACAGGAAGAGTGCATTGTGGTTTTTCTGTCCACTGTAGCAATGTTTTACTGACAACCTGAGAAAGCCTGAGATGCCACACAATTCCGGCCTCGCTGAGTTGAAAAGAGCCATCCCTGTTGAGCCGACAGCAGGAGGACCCTTCTCAGGGATTGTATTTTGAGATCTATCCCATGAGTAGCAGTGTGTAGGGGGCCATGCATGGTGTTGTAGGCAGCTTCTGTGGACACAGAAAAAGGAAACCATTAAGAGTCAGCATTTGTGCTGGGGGTGCAGCTGAGTGTGTGCTTAGCATGTGTGTAGGCCCAAGCAACCTCCTAAAATATACATAGTCTGCATCTAGTAAAGGGTCTTTAAGAGAATTTGTTGGGATCGAAATTTCATATGATAATTAGCTTTTTAATCTTCTAAGATGAGGAAGCCTTACAGCCCTATAGGAGATTTTATCCAGTGAGTCCCGATCCCGGAAGCTCAGCTGAAGTTCTAGAATGATTGACAGTCCTCCCTTGGGCGAAGTGTAAGCTGTGTGTAGTGGATAATAACGCAGAGAATCTCTCCTCACAAATAGCAGTTCCCCCTTGCTAATGGAGTTAAATATCAAACCCTCAAGTTTTGACAGGGTGTTCACGTGAATAAGCAACCCTTAAGGAGGTGACATCCAGCTAACCCGGGTTCCCTGCAGGCAGTGAGCACTCAGGAGCTCCTGATTGTGTCACTGCATTCAGAATCTGCTGGAGACATCGCTGTGTCTTTTCTTGTGGCGGTCTCAGTCCTCAGTAGTTCAAAAGCCAGCCTACCAGGTTCAGCTTGTCCCCCAAAGTAGCTGAAGGCTCCTTGTTCGCCCTTCCTCCGTCAGGGCCGGGCCTGTGTGTTTGCAGGGCAGGGCGTTCATGACACTTCCGAACTCTCCATCCTCTCGTGATGGTTCCCTGAGACATCCCATCCCTGAGGACAACTTTAAGTTATTTTTATATTTAAAATAGCCACAGAATGCCTGTCTCCGGCATGAATTTGTCATTACAGAACATATGGTCTCAGTGGCAGAAGAGCAGGGTATCTTACGGCTGACTTGTTAATGACCCCTGTGCTTAACTTAAGGAAAGGGGCCTTCTTGTATTGTGTCACCCCAGCATTCTCCCCAAAGTAGGTACCCGAGGCGCCAGTGAAAGATGTGGTAGGGTAGGGGCTGATTAATAAAGGGGAAAGGAACCAGAGTTGATGCTGTTGTCTGCATTTCATTTGACAGTTTGATTTGAAAGTTTGAGAGACACCTCAGAGTTCGTTCTTAACCCAGTTGAGACTATGGGAAATCCCGAAGCAGATCCTGGTATTCAACACAGTGCTCATGGGAGCCGCACCTAACGCTCAGCCCCTCTTCCAACTGCATGCTTGTCTCGGACTTCTGACCCTCAGCTTCTTGCTGCTACGGGTCCTCTGAACCACTGACCTCCTTCAGCCCAGCCCAGCCCAGCCCAGCACACACGCTTTGTGTTAGTTTTCTCAGCTTATCAGTCTGCTTTTTCTGCTCAGAGTGGGGTTCCAGCCATTCTATGTCCTGCTTTCTGTGGGTGACAGTTCTGTGCCCTGCTCCTGTCTCCATAGGTGAAGGGCACTTTCTGGAAATGACAGCAGGAGATGGGTGTCTTCGTGAGGTTTTCTTGCTTTGTCGAGGGCTGCATTTTTATCAGTAAGACAGCGAGTGTCAAGCAGTCTGCAGGATAAGAAATGATCACACTGGAGGGTTGCAGAGAGAGAGGCTCATGGCTCTGGGTCACACTTTGGCCTCCTTGATAGTCCTCAGCATGCTGATGAAGGATGGTGTATTTGGGAGGTGGCTTCTTTGTCCTAGAGAGGGACAAAGCCCTGGAGACCAGAAGGGGCCATCTTGTGGCAGAGAAAGGAATGACAAGACACCCCTTCTGTGGCCTTGCAGAGGGAGAAAGGTCAGACAGATAGTACATTCTTTCCACCCCAGGGCGCTCTGCTCACTTTAGGGACACGTGGGTGATGGTGACTTGGGGTGATTTCCTGTTTGAGACAGTCAAGACTGTTTGAATCGTGCTGCTTCTGTTGAAAGTAAGTGTAGTTTCTGTCCCCGCTTCTCTCCCCTCTCGCCTCTCGTGCTGCTGCATTCTTCCCCCGCCTAGGTCCAAGGCCATGGTATGTACTAACGGTCCCGCGGGCTTCCTCTGCCATGCACGCTCATGTTCTTTGGGCCAGAAGAGAAGAGGGGAAATAGCCAGGGAGAAAGTCTGTGATACAAGTGCTGCCTGTCTTGTGGGTGTTGGTGGTCCCAGCAGCTCGGGAGCTAAGTTTCAGTCAGGCCAGGCCTCCCCACTCACCCCCAGTGAACTGAAACTGTCCGGAAGGTAATTAGTACTCAGCTGGAGGGTTGGCAGGAGCTGTGAGGAACATGCCCCAGGGACACCTGGGCTGTCTGTTTTGGGAAACCTTGCTTTTATTCTTTTCCTCTCTCTTTTTTTTTTTTTTTTTTTTTTTTTTTTGAATCTGTGTTGTTGTACCGGAAGGATCAATGGTACATTCTCCTGCCTGGGGAGTCAGACTGCCTCTCTCTGCGCTTTCATCTTATAGCTAAAGATGGTGCCCAAGACCCACAGTCTCCACCTTTAGTAAGCCCAGTGAAATGGCAGTTGCTGGCTTCCAGGGCACAGGCTCCAGTGACGCAGAGAAGACTCCATGCCTGGGTACCCCCAGGATGGTTTGGAAGGCAAGCGCTCTCCTCTCGGGGCTGTGTGTCCTGGAGGTGGTGCGTAGATGACCCCGCAGGCGCAGGCCCCCTCATAAAGAAGGGCAGGCAGAGACACCGTGGAGGGTCCGTCCATGCTGCTGCCCCCACCCCAATGCATCCCCGGGTATGTTACAGGTGGCCTTTGGTAGTAAGGGTATTGTTATTTTTGACACGCGTGAGGATTATATATCTGTGACAAGAACTTTCTTTAGATAAATGTATTAGAGCAGCTGGCGGAGACTGGCTATCATCCCAGCACTCCTGGGTATGGGCGCAGGGCACAGCAGAGAGCCCCTCACTCAGGACACTTTGTGCGGGCCAGCCGTCTCTCCCACCACTTCTCCCCAGCCACCAGCCCAGGCTGTGATAAGGGCAGAGGCAAAGGGCAGCTGCTGGTTTGGGGCTCAGTTCCCTTTAGACTTCAGCTAGAGGCCTGGCATATTTCTCTTCTTCTGTTTCTGTGCCCTGTGCATGCTGTGTCCTGCTCTCTGGTCCTGGTAGTGTGATGGAACCAGGCCCGGGTAATGTGTTATCTCTGCTGTTCTCTCCCCAGAACACGGCTCTAGATAAAGAGGGGCAGATTTTCTGCAGCAAGGTCTGTCAAGACAGCAGCAAACCAGCAAGGGAGCAGACCTCCACAGTCCCTCCCTCAGCCCAGGAGGCCCCTCCCCCACACGAGTCTCCCAAGCCCCCTAGTCCTCCAGCCACATCCGGCTGTGATCTGGCGGGGACCTGGCGCCGCCACCGAGACTGAACTCTGTGTGGACAGGCCCCGAAGCTGCTGGAGGCTGCCGCTTCAGGAAGGCCGCTCTTCCACCAGGCCTCGCCATCTCCGTGCTGAAGGAGCCTTTCTTTCCTCACTGCGGCTTTGACAGTTTGCTGGCATGTTCTGTCACTGTCCGGGAACAACACTGAGGCGTCCTGGAGCCAGTGTTCGGCCTGGCCTCATGTACTTTGGGCTCTGCCCTCTCTAGTTCCTGGCATGGCTGTCAAGCCATGTCAGTGTGGAAACATATTTGGAGTGACTCATTTTAAATCATCCGTGTTTCTAGTTCAGTAGACACTTGGCTGCTGTACCCAGAGAATGTGCAACCTTTATCAGGAATTACGTTCTTTTTATAGAAATGCATTGGAAGGACTAGGATTCTCCTATTGACGGATTTTCCAAGCGCTCCCTTCTCACTGGGGATGGCCTCTGAGAAGCAACATGGCCTCTTACTCTTCTTGGCCACCCGAGGCTCCTGAATAGGAGAAATGAGTACCCAAGAGGGCCGTGTGGTCATCACCCTGAGTCCTGGTGTAGGGGATGCATTCTGACACCCCAGGAAGCAGCAGCTCCCCTCTGGCTGGGGTGCAGGGCTCACGGACCTAGCAGACGCGCCCCCAGTTTCCTCTCCTTTCCCTACGTGTGTATTAAGAAATGTTTATGACGTTGTGTGTATTAAGAAGTGTTTATGACGCTGGCCTGGGGGTTTTACAGTGGGGATATGCAGCAGCTCTTGGCGGAGAGGATCAGCTCGGCTGAGTCACCACCAGGGTCTCCTGTCCCTCTGCTCTCTGTCAGGAGCAGGCCAAAAGCCATGGCGGTCTGCTGAGACCCAGCGGGGCCTGGGGTGCTTGGTGCTTCTGGAATGTCCTGTGACCAACCTTCTGGAAGACTGCTGGCAGTTTTTCCTTTTTCCACCACCCTACTCTTTTTAATAATTGTATATAACTATGTATTTGTTTGACCTGCTTGTCTTCTAAACGGGTGGGCCCTACTGTTCACTCTTACTGTTAGATTTTGCCTTCTCCAAGTACCCCAACCTGCAATAAACTCTTCCCTCTTCAGAAAAGCCGTGGGGCGGGCAGAGGTTTCTGTGTGGTTGCTTTAGAAAGTGCATGTGATCAGAGCACCTCTTGTTGGTCCAGACCCTCAGGGGCCTGTGTCTGGGGCCACTACTGGACACAGATCTTTGCCTTGGCTGAAGTATATTTGATCACAGGTGCTGTGAATTGTGACCTAAGCACCAAAATAAGCAAGTTGTTCAGAGGGAGCTAGGGTCGGTAATAGATAGGTTGGGGCTCAGAGTATAGACTGGAAGGCTCTGCTTCCTGCTCGTGACCTTGTTCATCTGTGGCTCCTGTTATCCAGAGCTGTCTCTGTCACCTCCTTGGAGCTTACAGTTGTCCAGCCTGAAACCCCTGGCCAGGCTCTAGATCTCTTCAGTTCGCATTGCTGAAGGGATGAGACGGCTGGTAGCCGTCTGCCCCTGGGTTCCACCCAGGGCCCACAGCTGTAGCAGACAGAGGAGGAAATGTTCAGGAACACTGTGAGATGTAGGGTTAGAACACTTTGCACGTGTCTCTTCATTAACTGGTTAAAGAGCAAACTTTAAAAAAGAAAAACCAGATTTATTCTTAATTATGTGTACGCCTGTCTGTGCGCATGCAAATGCATCGTCCATTGAGACCAGAAGAGGGCAGCAAGCAGGTGTGAGCAGGCAGACATGGTGCTTTTAACCTCTCAGCCATCTTCCCAGCACCAAGTCTCGTGGCTGTTTCATTTTCTGAGAGGGGAAGAGCTAATGCAGAAGGAGAAAATCAGGACAGGTGGCGGACGGGTGTTCGTTGATGATCACAGCACAGCTGCAGTCCTTGCTCAGCTGTGTGGCTGGGCAGTGGCCTTTTGTTTGTCCCTGTGGGAGGCAGGCAGAGGCAGTGAAGTCTGCACAGCCTTAGTCCTTTCCTTGTGGGTAGGTAGCCTGGTAGCCTGGCCAAGTCCAAGGAGCTACAGGAGGGAATGGCCTGGTGTCTACCCAGGTGATGGTGCTGGGGAAGGGATGGTGATCCCAAGCAAAGGTTTGAGACACAGTTCCTCCGTGTATTTGCTGTGTAAGTACTTAGAAGCTGTAATTCTGTTCTCATGATCCAGATTAAATACAGGTTCTTTATTTCCGGCTACTCGGATCCTGTGGAGAGATTGGCAGGCGCTTGTTCAGACTATGGAGAGAGGTCAACTCGGAATTGTGGCAGAGAAATAGTGGATGCCCTGGGAAGCAGGTACTTGATGACCTCCAGAGCTGAGGGGTCACACACCTTGCTGTCTTTGCCTCCCTTTGCAAAGGTGATGGGCATGGAAATGTATTACATGTGTTCATTAAATACATTTGATAAAACTCCTAGAATCTCCTCATGGCTGAGATGGTGATACGTGACTTAGCATATGGGACAGTTTGGGATGGAGTAACCAAGAAAAAATGCTGATGAAAAAATGCTAGAGCAGTTTACCATCCCGTGGAAATATACAATATATACCACTTGTGTTAACGTTTTCATGGTACCACATTAAAAAATTTGAAAGGAACAGGTAAAGTACATCTTGTGGCATATTTTATTTAACCTAACATCTAAACATATCCAAAGTATTACTTCAACATGTAGTCAGTATCAACAAAGGCTGGGTGGTATTTTACCTTCTTGTGTGTGGAGTCTGAAATTTGGAGTATGTTTACATTTCACAGTACATCGCAATCTGGACTCTGAACATTTTAAGTGTTTAAAAGCCACATGGGCCTAGCAGCTGCCATGGCACCATTCAGCTCCCCAGATAAGCCATGGCTCTTAATATTAGTTCTAGGTGAAATCTGTTCAGTTTTTGAATGATGTGTGTGACAGGTAGAGAGACCCCCCCCCCCGTCATTTTGAGTGAAACGGGTTTGTGGGAAGTGATGGCATAAGGTTAAAGCTCTGTGGCGGGAAACGAAAGCGCACCCTACTAACGCTGTGACTGAACTTCAAGTGGAAGTGCTAGGCATGGAAACTGTCACCGACTCTCCAGGTACAAGTCGCTGCTTACAAAGGGGTCTTCGCCCACCACCTCAGGAATGTGTGCAGGGCTGGGACACTCGCTGGGCAGCCCTGTCAGAGCAGCTCTGTTGTGGGACCTTGCACCTGCAGATGAGAGCATTGTCAAGTGAGGAGGACTCTGAAGCTTTGGCACCCAAAGAATGCTTGGAAAAACCAACAAAAACCACCGAGCTACAACTCCAGGCTCATTGCTCAATGTCCTGGTGGTATAAGAACAGTTCTTTGCAGGCCACAAGCATGTTTCTTTCCCTGGAAGTGAGCCTGAGGTTGATGTGTAGGGAGTACAATGAGTCAGGTTCCACTGTGGAAGTCAAGTGAGATTCTAACAGTGGCAGGGTTGATGGGAGATGTCATTCTGTAAATATGTTTCTTATTGGTTAATGAATAAAGTCCTGTTGGCCAATAGGAAAGCAAGATAGGAGGGACTAGGAGACAAGGAGGTTTTGGGGAGAGGTAGGAGATTCAACATGTAGAGACTTGAGGGAGAACAACTCTAGACCCTTTCTCGGGTAAGTCAAGACTACATGGAAACGCTTAGATTGATAGAAATGGGTTAGTATTTAAGACAGAGCTAGCTGATAAGAAACACTAGTAACAGGACAACAGCTTTATATCTAATACAGCGCCTCTGTATGTTATTTGGGGCTGGCACGGCTGTGGGTAAAACATATTTGTAACACAGGGTCAGCTGACTTCTGAAGGATTCAAACTCCTGGAAATGCCTAGAAGTCGGGTAATAGTCATACAGGTACACAGTGCACCTGTACCTTGAATGCTGCATATTCGAGGGGAAGAGAAACAAGTGTGTGGAGCCACTCCTGCCCTTTCATGGCTGGTGGGGCTGGGCTTTTGCTGCTCCACAGGCCTCCTGTAGGGCAGGGTCCTGATATCTTCATCTCATGGACTGATCTGGCAAGCTTGATTGGCAGCCTATCAGTATGGATGGAGGCTGAAGCTGGATCTGAGCTAACTTTTCCAAGCCATCCAAGTCCACAGCTGTGGAGCAGCTGCCACTTCCTGCAGGTATGTGCAAATACTGGTGCTATCCAACTCCCCCAAAAGCTTAGTTTTGGCAAGGAAAAAGATCCTGAACTTAAGATGAAACGATGCACTTCATGTTTCAGGTATGTGATCATGGAGACTCCAAGTGGCCTCCAGTGTGTCATCTATCGTCCCTGATCAAAGATGCTGGACTGTCTCAGAGGATGTGGTCTGCCCGAAAGACAAAATGCCTGGGTTGTTCAAGAGAGCTTGATGTGCTGTGTTTTGATAAATTTCTGTTTGTGGTTTGTGGTAGCCAGGGGCAGAAGTGAGTAACATTGTGAACAAGCTGGTGAGATGACACACACACAGCCTCAGCTTAAGCCCAGGAGCTGGACAGTGGCCTGGGCAACATAGCAAGGCTGGTCTCAGATGTTAAGTTATTTATTCTATTTGAAACACTAAAGAGGGAGAAATATGTTCAGCCAAGCATGGTGATATATTTCTAAGTCCCACGACTGGGGAAGAAGCTAAGGCAGGAGAATATTGTTTGAGACCAGCCTGAGCTGTACATAGTGGAACATTATTTCAGGGGTAGAAACAATATCTTAAAATTGAGGCCATGGCATTTTTCTTGTAATCATAAAATCATTATGTAAAACCTCAAAATTAGCCATGCAAATTCTAGCACTCAGGAGGTAGAGGCTGGCAAATCTCTGAGTTCGAGGCCAGCCCCCCCCCCCTTTTTGGAAAGAGTGGGTGGAGCCTGCATGCATGCAAGAAATCCTTGACTATTTCTTGTAAGTCTGACTTGCATGGCCACTGCCACCTTACTGTTCTTGACAGCACAGGAGGAAGGCAGTATTGCCAGGTCCATGTGGTCAGTCCCATTAACCTAGACCCTACTGAATGAAAAGGGGCTGTGAGTTACCCATTTCCTGAAACCTCTCCCCCGTTCCCATGGAGACAGGGTGGTTTCTTGGATCATCTGTTGGCAGACTTTTCTGTCCCACCAGCTAGTTCAAAATAACCACTCAGAGACTTAATAGTAATTATAAATGCTCAGCTGACAGCTCAGGCTTCTTACTAGCTCTTACATTTTAAATTAACCCATATTTCTTATTTACCCTCTGCCACATGGCAGTACTTTCAACATGGTGTGTTCTTCTTTTCTCTGCATCGGCTCAAGCCTCCTGAGACTCTACCCTTCTTCCCAGCATTCTCTGTGTCTTGCTGTTCTGACTATACCCCCTGCCTAGCTACCAGCCTGTCAGCTCTTTTACTAAACCAATCAGAAGGTGCCTTGGTAATGACACATCTTCACAGTGTACAAAAGATTACTCCATAAGAATGTTCCTGTATTACTTGCTAAGTAGAATGGAAGTATAGTGTTTCATTGATGGGCAAAGTAGGTCCTCTTTAGAGTCGATTCATAGACCCATTTACTTCTAGGCATTTGGTATACTTTGGGTTTTGCATAGTCATATAAGAGTGAGCTGTCCACACATCTACATTAGTACCTGCCAGATATTTTCGTTTTCTACTTCTCCGCCCTTTTGCTTTCCCCAGGGACCTAAATGACAAAGCCATAAAGACTTGAGGGTGTTGTTCAGTGAGAACTTGTAAGCAGGGAAGGAAAACCCTTAGTTTCTTGAGGAAATTTATTATAAAGCCAGGCTTAAATATACCATGGAGAGATTGTGAGCCTGCCAGCCGCAAGAGTGGCCACAGTTCCTCCTGTTGGAGCCTGTCTCCTTCATCCCTGGCCTCCCTGATAGCTATTCTAATTAGTTTTCATTTATTTGAAGTGTTCATTTATTTGAAGTGATGGTGGGGATTTTGTTAAGATAAGTAATATTGAACAAAATGAAAGAAATATTGTGTTAAGTAGGTCCTGCCACTAAGAAGTCCTTGGTTCATGTTAGGCATGGACATGACTTTTGTTTTATGAAGTATTATTTCAGCTCAGGTACTCTCCTGTTTTGAGCTGTAAAGACAAAGGCAA